GAAGTAACTTTTCGTTAAGAGTTTCTGTTAAAACCTTGAAAAAATTAAAATAGATTTTCCGCTAAACATAGAGAATGCTATCCCATATTACTGTTTCACTTTTTGCATTAATTTTCCTTATTTTCTTCGTCTTCCTTTCTTGCCTTTCCAAGTCCAGTTAAAGTCACTAAAAATGTACTAAACAGAGCATGCAATGAGTTCTCATTAATGATTAAGATGCAATTGTTTAAAGTACGAAGTAACTTTCCGTTAAGAGTTTCTGTTAAAACCTTGAAAAAATTAGAATATTTTTTCCGCTAAACATGGAGAATGCTACCCTATACTTCTGTTTCCCTTTTTGCAATCATTTTTCTTTATTTGATCCCCCTTCCTCTCTTGCCTATTCAAGTCCAGTTCAAGTCACAAAAAATGTACCATACAGTAGATGCAATGAAATCTGCAATTGTTTGCTAGTTCACAAAAACGGTTTTCAAATTAGCTACCAAACAAGACATAGCTACATTGTTAACAAACGTTCATCGAGAGTTTGCCAAGACTATCTATTCACCGAAAGGGGCTTTGGGTTTCCTTAGAATAACACCGCGTAACCAAAAAATTTTTCATCACCGCGAAGGGCACGCTCTACAATGAATCTAACACTGAAAAAATATTCCCAAATTTCATAATCACTCTTACTTGACTAAATTTTATTTATCATTCTATGTTTTGTGGGAAATACTTCCATTGGCAAAGAATTTAGAAATGATGCACAGATGGTCTCGGCAGACAAAAAATTTGAAACATGTTACAGGCTTGTAAACCTCAAATTCATTTCGTTCTTCAAAAACCGAGCTATCAATTTATCCCTATTGACTGTCAATTGGTCAATAATTGGTCAATATATTTATTTGGCATGGAAGCTAGGTTCGGCAGTTATAAATTAAATTCAATGCAGTAAAGGTTTTAGGGTTTAAGCTACAAAAGCAACTACGGGTGATGTGAAGATGGCAAAAATACTAATTTTCATCAATGTTAATTTTCAGCCTCTCAAATGCATTTTATCTTATGTATTTTATCGTTTCAACCAATTAACGCTCAACCTGCAAACCAAGTTCACGTGCTGATAGTTTCAAAAATGCTAAAATGCTCCAATCACCGTGGCACAAATTCGGGTTTTTTCGATACCTTTTGACATTAGCAGTTGGCATATTATTTGACTGATATTTTAGATAAACACGAAGAACAGTTTTCAATATGCTTCAATATTGCCTCGAGGCAGGGGCAGAACCAGAGCAAACTTGAAGGAGGGACAGTTTGTAGTGGGGGCGCTGAGAAATTTTCAAAAATTGACGAGAGAACGCTGTATACAACAATTTCAGATCCATTTTCGGAATAAACAACATAACTTTGGAGTAATCCTTAAGGCATATTAGCCTATCGGTCTCAGAAACTTTTTCACCTGATTCTCATTCTTCAAAAGGGGCGCACAATTTCCAAAAAAGGGGCGCCATACTTGCTTTAGCTCGTCGAGGGAGGGGCAACTGCCCCTAGTTGCTCCCCCTTAAATCCGCCACTGCCTCAAGGATCTTCTCACTTCAAGGCGGCAATTAGCAATTTGTAGATTGGTTTTGTGAATTCTGAAAATTGAATCACTTTGACAAAAATAAATTAGCAGCTGAAAACTTTCGTTGACCATGAGTGGGTCATTTCCCAAAGCAGTCATTTCCTAAAGGAAACAGGAAGATTGTGAAATGGCCAAACAGGACTCAAAAATTGGCTTGTTTCTGCTTTAACCTTTAATGCAGTTGTATAGAATGTCGGAATTTTCTTAAGCAAAAGGAGCAATGTCTAGAATCAAAGGGGGGGGGGAGCTTTTGTGCAATGCTGCTAGTATTAGGTGTAGGCTCAGTGTTTAAGGCCCGCGCCACAGGGGCGGCCAGAGGGCAATGACCTCCCCACTTTTTCACGAAATAAAATATCAAGATCAGCTGAAATCCTTTGTATAGATAAGCCTGAAGGTTACAACAAATACATTGAACCAAAATCCACAAGTAAAATAGCGTAAGCAAGATGGTTGCCACAATGGGAACTAGAGGGAATAAGAAGAAACTTTCTTTACATTGATAGCCCTTCCAGTTTAGGATCAGTTGTGCGGTCCCTGTGACAAGACGAAGCTTTACCTATAGTGGGGAGAGTTGTCAGCTTTCGGTATTTCCAGGTACAGGAATCACAAGGTTCAGAGAATAAGGACATTATTACCATGGGCTCCGATAAAATCCGATAAATATGGGGGGGGGCCAAGGGAAAATTTAACACCCATAACAAAAGATTTTGAAAAAACTCTATTGTTTTGCAAAAAAGGCCCTGATTACTAGCACAATAATAACGATTTTCTTCTACTTTGGCGTCCATTTCACTGCTTGCCTAAACTGTTTCCTTTTATCTTCTCTTTGGATTACATTAAGCGTAACAGATTTTAAAATTGCAAAAATTTCTAGAAAATAACGCTAGCCCAATTCATTAAAATCCATATAATCTGAAGTTCGATATCAACTCTTCGGAAGTATTTTAAAATTAGCCGCGTGATCATGAAGGTCAAAACATGTAATCGATAATTGACAATCATGCGATCAATAAACAGAACGGCGTGATCAATAAGTTTCTCCATGCGATCAACAAATAACGGTCATGTGATCAATAACGATTAATGATCTTGATCACGTGATAGATAAGACCCAGACATGTGATCAGCAAGGTCAAAACATGTGATCAATCATCGACAATCACGTGATCAATAAATCAGAAACTCGTGATCAATAAGTTTCTCCATGTGATCAATAAATATCAATCAATTAATCGATAAAATTAACCTATATCATCAATTATGAACTGTTGCAATTAAATACATTATCTACAGGCATTTATTATGCGCTTTGTAATTCCAAACTGGACCTGGTTCTAACGATACAAAAGGAAAAAAAGGAGTGGTTGTGTTCCATGCAAAAATGATTCATTTTATAAACAGGCATGCAGAGCTAATCGTTTTACAAGCGGAGATGGTGTCGCTCCACAAGCCGCTCTGCTACCAATATGATACGTTTTAAACTCCCAACTGATCCGTTATTAATAGCCAAATTTAAGTTAGACTTCATTTTAGACGACTCTTCAAAAGTATCTTTTACAATTACAGGCTTCCCACATCATATGCCATCGGTCACTTGCCATCATTTGTCACATAGGTACCATTTTACGAACTTTGAATAATTTTGACGACAATGATTGCAAAACTTTCAAAACAGTATAATTTGAAAAAATAGTAAGTTCAACTTACCTTCGAAAGGCTTCGTCGCAACTGCTTTGAGCACGACCTTTACTGTTCAGCCCTGTTTAGAGGACGGCATCTTCCCAGGCAATTCAACTAGCAATTCAGCCTTTGCCACTCGTTATCAAGCGCGCCAAACAAAAATGCAATTTTTGAGAAGAAGTAGTACCTTCCAATTCAACGAACACCATCTCTCGGATTTTCCAGATTAAGAAAAGGAAATCTTTTTGCAAAAATCTACAAATATTTGAACAAATTTAAAATATTAAATGAAATTCGGTTGCTCTCCTTTCTTGCAGTCTCAGACATTGTCTTGCGCGTTCATCTCGACACTGAACATTCAGTTATCGCAACATTGATTTTGCCGCCAATTTGACAATGCATTCTGGGTGTTGCATGCTTTTCGCGCGTAGCAATTCATTTGGATAAAAAGGAGCACCATAACTGCACGGGGTTTTGGCTTAGTTTCACAAAGCATAAGCACGCACCAAGCTACGGCTCACAAGCAAAGGCGACATCTTTTTGAAGATGTTGACAAAAGGCCTATGCAAAGTTAAGTATAGACAAACAAGTGCAGCATCATTTAGCGTAATTTTGGATTGACAAACTGCAAGTCTTTGTGCATTAACTGAAATTTCAATAATTTTAACATTGCAATCATTGTGAAAGTTCTTATTTTCTGAAACCATTCTGTTATTCTATGTTTCTTAGATTCAAAACAGTAACGAAGACACTACTAAGCAAAGAAACACCAACAAGGAGCTTCGTTTCAGTTTGTCAAATTTGGTTCTAATCTTTATTTTTTAAAAAGCAGGATTTTCAAAGGTTGAATACTTTGAGGGTACCGACTTATGCCCAAGTTTTATTTTCCAACTTCACAAAAATAAAATTTCGAATAAGGATTCCCCCTTAATAGTTACTGTCTGGGGGAAGGTAGAAGGTTAAGTGTCTTTGAATCTGAAAGAGACTGCGCTACAGATCAGGATCAGTTTTTAGGATTCTGCCAAAAAACTGTCAAATGATGATGGTTTTAGTCTAAGAATAACAAATAGAGAATTATTCACTGCACTAAATGGAAACTCCTTAATCGCTTATCTTTAATGCAACTCATCCAAAAAATAATTGAATGAGTCGAAAATTTGGAATTTTATCAAATGCATCAAAGAGGCTAGTTGGCAATGCCTTTTTCAAAGGGTTGCCTCCAGAGGGAAACTTCCAAAGTGCAGGCTAAAGAAGGCAGTCCCAGAGGGCAGCTTGCCTCAAGAGGGCAGCTTGCCTCAAGAGGGCAGCTTGCCTCAAGAGGGCAGCTTGCCTCAAGAGGGCAGCTTGCCTCAAGAGGGCAGCTTGCCTCAAGAGGGCAGCTTGCCTCAAGAGGGCAGCTTGCCTCAAGAGGGCAGCTTGCCTCAAGAGGGCAGCCTGCCTCAAGAGGCCAGCCTCTAGAGGGCAGCATGCAGAGAACAGTCCCCACAGGGCAGCCTCAAGTTAGAAGCTTCCAGAGGGCACCTTCCAGAGGGCAGCTTTCTAAGGTCGTTTTAAGCCAAGCCATCCCGCCCTTTTTACAAGACAATAAAAGCTTTGTTTCGCTATGGTGCTTAGATTTTCTGCAGTGACCTTACTAGCGTTCTTCAGAGGTAGAACCGCCATGGTTACTGTATTGAAAAACAACTTGATTGTAGCGAAAATACTCAGAGACAGAAACTTCTTGGTATTTTCATCTTCATTATACTCAATTTCTCTATAATAAACTTTCGTACAACAAAGCCAATTCAAATCATAATAATTTACCGCAATTTTCCGTAATACACAGTACTTTTTCCGCCATTTAACTTTTTTTTCAGAATATTCAACATACAAAAAAAATCGTTGGAATAGTACAAAAAATATTACAAAAAATTACCTTACAAATCCAATCCTGCCAAATCGTTATTCATATTATCATTTATGTATTTAGCAATATCATCCTCCTCCATCGTAGTGGCGGTATTTGCTGTGGATGTGGAGGAGCTTGAAAACAAGTCATCGTCAATATGCGATTTGGCGAATAGGTTTTTGGCGCCATTACTTTTACCAAATATATCATCCAAGGTATCCTCTTTCACCAATTTCTCTCGTTTCTCCCTAAGATAAAATCGAAGTCATGTCAAGCACAAGATGATACATGTAAAAAAGCATAGATTGTGTTTCATAAAGTAAAAAATTCAGCAATAGAAGAGAACAGAATTCCTCTGCAAATTTCGGGTTTGTACTGAGATCTGGTGCTTAAGTTTGAGAAAATTTTGACGACAAAAAATAACAAACGAAATTTGTTATTCATGATACTTCAATTGTATTTTAAAATATCATACTGCAGTATTTCGCAACGATATGCCTTGCTTTTTAAGGCTGCAACGTTGGTTAAGGATTTGGAAGAATATAATTGCTTAACAAAATCGTTGGTAGATTTTGTAATATCAGACAATTTCAATGATTATTTTAATTTGAATGTCATATCGGACACTGACAATGTCAGAGACAGTACGCTTAAATAATAGCCAGAGAAATAATAACCAGTGGAAAGCAATTCTATTAATTTCTGACAACGTGGAAATAAAAAGAGAAGGGACAGACATTTGGACAAACATTGAACAAACACATGACCTAAATGTGCACTAAAATTCTATTGAAAAAATGATGAGAAATTTTGCTTATTTTAAGGTATCGCCACTGACTAAAGAGCCATGTAAGAACAGTTCACTTTTCCTTGTCTAGACACGTTGTTCCACTTCTTACCTCTACATAAACATCTTAGAATCAACTGCAATATACACAATAAAAATTGACCATTCCAGGCATTTGGAAACATTTCATCTTACCTTTGTTAATTAGCAAAGGATAGGCCTGACAATACAATTAAGGGTTGTGTCAACATCGAAAGCGTAAAGAGTTACCACTTCATGTTTATAAATTTCCGCGCTCTCAGGCTATAAACTATAGTAGGCCGTAAGCTGTGTCAGATTTTTATTTGGTCCCGCTGCCCCCATTCCGGCACTACGTTTAATAAGCATTTTCCTGTGTGTTTTTTCGTGCTGATTACGAATCCTCTTGTTGTCAACTGTAAAAACCTGCAATTCTCTTGAAATTCAGCTTCAAACTTCACCATTCCCGCGCTTAAGGTGTATAACGTGGAATGCCGAAAGCCGATATTGCTTAATTATTCTCGGCCCTATATCACAGTCCGGGTAATACCTAAGTACCAATTGCTTTAAAATAAACATGGCGGTCGGCTCAACAAATGGATCGTTGTTTGATACATTCTTGATATTATTGCCTTCCAGTAGCTACACCAATTGTTTTAGACATTCTTGCTTTCCAGTAGCGACACCAAGGGGTAGTATGGACGGTTATCCCCCCCCCTCCCCTCTTGCAAAACATTGTCCAGATATTCTCCTAAAATTGATGAAAAATGCACTGGGTAGGGGCAGGTCATATTTTTCAAGATTTGTCTATGAAAATGCACCTGGCATAAAAAACAATTAAAATGAGACAGTAAAGGCCTAGTCTCCTGGGTCACGCCCATTACCCTCCCACTCTGCTACAGCTGGCGCTACCACTGTTTTATTTTTAACGCGTTTACAAAGCTTAAATAGCTGAAATGTTTTTCATAAAATGATTGATTTCAACCTGATGTAAGAAAGTAAAGTACAAAAATCATAAAGGGATGACGTCATTAACTATTCAAAACCTGTATACGAGAACAGGGCCGCGGAGAGAATTAATGGGCCCTAGGTCAGGACAAAAATTAAATTATGAAGCATGCCTCTTCTAGGAGGTATGGGGAATGCTCCCCAGAAATTTTGAAAATTATGGTTGCTTAAATTGCTAGGGTGGCTATTTTGGTTGATAAAATTGTCATGGTGGCTAAACTGCGCCGGTGGCAATGGTGTAGATAGAGGGGGCCAGAGGGAGCAAAAACACTACAATACTACTATATTGTCGGAAAAACTCTGCTCTTTTCAAAAATCTAACATGATTCTATGTTTATCTAAATGCTATGTTTTGATGGAAAAAATTTGAATCTAAATAAACATAAGAATATTCAATATATGAAATGATCTTTTTTTCAGTTCTGATGTCGTTATGTTATGTTGAAATTTATGAGAAAGATATAGAAGCTTGTTGGATTTTTGTCGGAAAATCCATGGTTCTCACCCCTTCTGTGAATTAGAAAGAAAAAGAAAATAACAGTTACAAGATGATACGTTTAAATAACTGAGAATAAAAAACAAATGGGTTAGGCGCAAGACTTAGGGATATTTAATGGAAGAGATATAATTTATCACAAGTACATTTAATACTTTAGGCAACTGTTTATTCTGTTTCCTTCCCTATCGCACTGCTTCATTAAACCTTGCACTTCTTAAATACAATCGATATACAATGTACGCATCAAGTAGCATACTTACCATACCTGATAACTGATATCTGATACCTGATAATTTGAGCTTAACTGATGTCTTAGCACCATAATGCATGAAAAGGAAATTTTCTTAGAAATTCTTAAAGGCTAGAAAATGAAAAACGTTCCATTCATTAACTAAATTGGACCACAACCGACACACTGTTGCAAATAGATGCGAACGCCATAGTGTAAATCTGTATGACATACATATTGCCCTGTATATTACCCTGCAATCACATTTCGTAACATTCAGAAGCTTTTGAACTTCTTTAGCCCTAGCCAACAAAGATGAGAGGTTCTTAACAAAAATTTTTTCACGACTTCATGGACCTTTGTCATTATTGTCTCTAATATTATGTTTTGTTAATGTTGATGGGGAGGCTGGATTAATACTTAGAAATTTTGTTCAATTGAGTTATTATTTATGGGCCCACTGACCCCCCACCCCCCCCTCTCCTCAACACTTTACGAGAATAACCTGTACAGTATGAACAAGCCAACTGTAATTACTCGCATTTGCCAACTGTAAGCTCGTTCATGCTGCTAACTACGGTGTTAACTACAAAAACAGATGGTTTTGACCATAATACATGATGATGTTGTGATGACGTCATCAACCGTTAAAAGGCATCTTCTCAGACACGAAGCGTTTGACAACGCTCTAAGTTGCACGTTTGTATACTAACTTAAAGTGATCTAGCTGGTGAGGGCAGTTTCTGTGTCAAAAAATGTTTTTTAAATAATTTGACTGTATCGATGACGTCATAAAACCTAGAAATTATTGACCCCCGTATCTCACGAGATGCATGTTTGTCAAAGTGACAACAACTGATTTTATATTAAGTAACACATTATAAACAAGAAAAAACAGTCGTGAAGTTGTGCCCGGATGCGGGCAACGAAAATTGATTTTGGAGCACCTTTTTTGGTCACAGCTTACGGCCTATAGGGCTTTAATTGTATCAATGAGTTTTAAAATGCAGCATCTTACTTCATAGTCGCCTTGCTTTTTGTTCTTGCTTCTACAAATAAATCCTCGTCTTCTTCCTTTTGTTGCTCTTTCTTCGTACTTGCAGACGACAACAATGACAGGTCCTCGTCTTCAATGCCCCCCTCAAATGAAGTCCGCTGTTGAGGTTTTGATTTCGGCAACGGCCGTGTGGATGTGCTGGCTTTAATGGAAGATTTGCGTTCTGATTTCTTGCTAAGAGCGAGTAGATCGTCCACATTTTCGTCAACACTGTACAATGAAAATCAACGATTTTAGCAAATTCAATGAAAAGTTTGATGCATATATTGAAACTCAACGAAAATATTGAGCTATACTGACGCTACTTTTAAGACACAAAAACTGTTAAAAAAGATACGAAAATAGCATCAGAAAAATATGCGTTGATAGCAAAAACCCTTAACAGGAGATATAAATGTATATTATTCACAAAGACAGGTACTTCAAACGATGTCTTCTTCATTTAGATACCTTCTTTGAAAAAAACCAGAAATGTGTTTTCGATGGTATGGGAATGGAAATTATTAACTTGTCTGAATGGTTCAACAGTGGTTGAAGACCACTTTCCTACGTGACTGAATGAAGATCAGCCACGCTTTCATTTAGTCAGTTGGTAGGCATGTCTAGTATAAACGGGATGGCCTACTGGGAAAATCTCTAAGTGGCTTCTTCGAGGGGAATCGTCTTTTGAAAAGATTTTGCTGATTGATCAGTTGATGAAAAGATCAGTTGAAGCATCTAGAGTAAACCATTTATCCCAAAATACATATTTAGATGCAGGGGCCCAACATTGCTCTTCTGATGGCTCAGTCCCAGAGAGGCGGTAAGCAGGAGGACGCCCTTTGCAAATGGCCTGCGAATAGACGATGTCACGATTTATAAAATAGTCGGCCTAAGTTAAAAATCATATATTTGTGCATACAAGCAATTTTGTATTCGATTTTGAAGACATATAGCGATACTGTCAGTGCTACTGATTAGATAACCAGCAGTCATATGATAAAATACGATTCTCAACAGGATTTCATTTACAAAATTCGAGCTAGAATCAAAAGCTAGTCTATGAGGCCACTCCTCTTCAAAATGAATTGCTTACCATACCAAACTGGAAAGTCGTCCACAAATCTTTCCAAAGCCTTTCCTCCGTAGTTTTGACCGTGGGATTTTGAAGAAGTAAACATCATACAAGTAACAAATAAGCACTAAAAGAATATTAGCATTTTTTAGATTATGAATTATCAACGGATTTACAATGCAAAATTTGAAAAAGAAAATTTCAGATCTCAACTCACTTCAAAAGACCATCTGTGTCATCGCTATCAAGTTGCTCTGTTTCACTCTCCTTAACTCTTGCGGCCGGCATAAAAAGGGCTGCCTCGTCTTTATCTCTAGTGGTCTCGATTTCATCTTCAAACAGCGAGGCATGAAGCTCCAATTTCTTGGAATTCGATGCTGCAAACAAGTCATCGTGGTTTGTGATATCAGATAGGTTTGAAGAGTCAAGATCAACGGGTACAAACAAATCAGTTTGTTCTTCTTTGCTTTTCTCATCTTTCGAGACACCGCCATCTACCTGTTCTTCTTCAGGCTTGCTTTGAAGCTGGGGAAAAGCAAAAAGTTTGCCTATATGTCATTTGAACAGAATCTACATTTATATCACCATTTCAACGTATGGTTTTTGAAGCAGATATTTCAGTCATGAAAAAGTGCAGACAATGAATCTAAAGGCTGAGCCAGTAACTAAGCTTTACTTCTCGAATTACTTGAAATGGTTTGGCGATGTCTTGGAATGGTACCATGTTGTTTTCAAATGAGAAATGGTCGAAATAGCTTCGGTTAAAATAATCAAAACCCAATGTACAGCAATCACGATCAAAATTGTCAGCAAACACAATAAGCGACAGGTCATACTGGATATACGTCTGGTGTTTGTAATGAGTACTACTTGCAGCGACCTAGCCTCAAAACAGGACGTAGAATGTCAAATAACCATTCATTATCTCAAGTTTCCTATATCAAAAATTATGCCTCCAACAATATCAAATATTTACTGAATTCTCCTGTCGAAAGCAAGCTTGGCTTCAAGTACTTATCAAAAATTATAAGAACGTTAGAAAAAGCCCAGCGCATAAGCTTTGTTGTTGCAATCCATAGATTTCTAAACATAAACCTATCGAATTGACACCTGTGACCAGAAAGCAACTTGAGCTAAAGTCTTGATCAAATAAACAGAAATCCTACAGGAGCATCTCTTGACTCTCTAACATGGATATATTAAGATATGTACAAAAACTATGTGCTCGTATCCAAATTGGATGATACTGTTGATCCGCGTTGTTAATGCTAGGTATTTATTCTTCTATTGTACCTGGTCCAATATCCACACTCGAGACCCATTTTTAATATACAATATTTAAGACACGTGCTTAAGGATACAAATTATGACTACCTGGTGCGGATCTACACCAGAAGATTCTAGATACTGCTAAAAACCCGGAGTAGTGTAAACATGAAAGATTCGAAAATCAGACATCCGTATTTTAATCCCCTAAGCTGTCGCGGAAACTTATTAAAATATATTTTTCGTACCTCTTCACTGACTTGTTCATTGAAAATCTCCTCACTGACAACAAGTGTTTCTGGCGTTGACTTCTCAGGCCCTCTCACACCAAGGAACTCTAGGACCATCGGACTACAGCATAGCTTCTGAGTGCGCGCCACTAAATGCATTAATTCATCAAGCACATTCTTTCTTTCAAGCAAGGCGGCCGAGTTCACAATTAAGCTCTTTTTTGGTAATGTAGGAAACAGAACACTGGGGAATCTATTTGACAACTTTTCATATAAGTTCTCGAACTGTTCATATGTTCTTTGTACCTAGAAGACAGAAAACATGGTCTCCTGTTGTTTTCAAATTTCCGAGTTGTTAAAGAAGATGTAAGCCACGGCTGGAACATGGATAGGAGCGTGGGAGTACTCATCTAAGAGAACATTTTGGCTACCAGACAGTTACATAACAGTGGCACCTGGGGCCCTAAGGAATAAGGCTGAAACGGGGCCTGTACCTACGGAGTGCAAGAAGGTTCCTTCGCACTCGCAGTCCGATCGCAGTCCCATCCGTTGTCGTGTAGCATGTTATACAAAAGAGCAAGATGCAAAAATTATAATTTTTCTCGTTAACTTGGGGGACCTGAATTACAAACGTGAGTAAAGAATATTTAAATTTGTTCGAAACAGGGGGAATTTGAGCGAAATCTTGAAACATTAATATTGAAATATCTTTGGGGCCCCTTTTGGTCAAGATGCCCACAGTTGCGTCACGCCACTGCTTCTAGAATATGTCGTAAAGGACTATACTCCCTGTGAATTTAATTAAATTAATCCAAGTCAATTTTATGTTTGAGATAACAGATGACGATTTCTTTCTTCTTCGCAAAGGTTTTCATAGCGTATATCAGCTGCTCTCTTAAGAACGAAATAAATTAGGGCCAGTCTAAATATCAGCTGATTTATGAGTGAAATTTAATAACGCAAAGGATCCTAAAAGGCATTTAGATAGGACATTGAAAAAAATGGTTTGATCGCAGCAGTGCTGTGAGTATGAAAAAATTGAAAACCAACACATAATTTCTGGATATAAACTTACAGATTATATCAACGAGTATCTATTACTGTTGGAAAATTACTAAGATTCATTAGATTTGAGGGAAGATAAAACAGGTTAGAAGTTGTTTGAATTAGGTGCCAAATCAAAAGTACCGCTTCTGAAACGTTGCATACCTAACTGTGATAGCATTAATCCCTTTTCGTAACAAAATTTTGCCATTCCTTATCTTTTTTAGCGACAGCAATCGACAAAAACATATTCATTAACATTAATATTATAGCATATTTTAGACACTTAGTTTTTGTTATCCTTACTTCCCCACGCATTTATATTTCTTTAAATACATAATATCTAAGTGAAAATTCTCGTTTTAAAAAGGAAGAATACAGGCCTGGCTGTAGGATACAGGCCTGGCTGTAGGATACAGGCCTGGCACCTGAGCTGTGAATCGCTCGCCTCATTTGTTCAGGGACATATCAAGATAATAAGAATAATGTATAAATTCAAAGTCGAACAAAAATAGAAAAATCATTGCAATATTATTTAAAGTAATTGCTGTTGAAGTCCCTTTGAATCTCCGATGCAGACAATTTTTGTTTGTGCCTCTTTTCAAGAACACAACAGAACCTGCAAATCAATTGAACTTCGAGCATAAAATTGCTTCCTCCATGCCTAGTTTACGAGAGGAATTCAAAGCTACCCTACGCTCCTGAGGCAGCGAAAAGGCAACGTGGGCCTCAAATGGTCAGCCGTTGGATATCTGTTTGACCCTTCTGCTGAAAAATACGGCGATGAGAATCCAGTAAGGGTATCTTAGAATTTTTGCCGTAAAGATGCCGCATTCATTGAAGTCGAGGTCTTAAATATGACCAAACGCTAGTCAAACACAAAAAGTTCATTGATTAATTTGCACGGTTAGTAAAACGTGTTCAAAGTGCCAGGTAGGTAAATCCATTCATTTGCCAAAATGCAGAAAATTTCCTTCTAAATACAGGGGCAAGCTTTTTATGTATCGCACAAAAGAAATCTGTCTTTAAAACTTATAGATAACTAAACCAATAAATTTAAAATGTGTTTTCCTTTTAATTATGTTAGAGCCCTTAAGACCAACTTTAGCCCTGGTAGTCCACAGAATTAGCAAGTCTAAAGTTTGAGTCGACTATCAGTTACAGCATTATTGAATGTACAGGAAAGATTAGTGGTAAAGCTTCAAAATGCAAGGAAGAAAAATTTGGTATCAATGGCTCATCAATCGTGAAAGCCCTTGAACATAATATTTAGAAAATACGCAAACAGTTTCGTGTAACCAAAACTTAGAAAATTATATAATCTAGAAATTAAAAATAGCGTTCGACCACTTTAAACGAAGAGGGGGGCCTGGGGGGGGGTTGTATGGGACTTGCTTAAGTTTAAAGCATATCCACATAAAAAATGAAAAACATTAAAATCTAAAAGCCTTTTTGATTGAAAGCTGTTGATTTTTGATAGAAGAAATTTTCTTGACTTTACCTTGGTAACATAAAGTGCAGGATATAGGCTAGGGAAGGGGGCTGTTTCCATAAAAAAAATTCAGAAAAATAATAGCATGAATTTGAAAATAAGGGCTTGATGGTATTAACAAAAGTAGCTTCATAGCAACCCCATGTGCTACTGACTCTGGATCCTTTGGATAAAGCTTTGGATAAGATGCACATCGAGATGATTATAAATAGAGGTATCTGTATAAAAATGATGCACATACCATAAACTGCACAACGTCTGATTCTTTGTGGTTTTGAGACTTATAATAAAACAACCTTGTTACGACAATCACATTGAACACTGCAGACTTAGAAAATCTCCCAACCTTCTCAGTGAATTCTGGTACCATCAAATCAATCCCAGTTACTTTGTTTTTAAGCTCCCTGGAAAAGGTATGGTAATCAATTAGAAACACACAAAACCTGCTATTTAAACTTTGCTTTAAAAGATTGCTATCCCAAGCTGTGATGATATACGAGAGGTGCACAGATGCTAGTGATACAAATTGAAAACTGGATCTTTAACATTTAAAAATAAGTTTACATTAGGGGAGCTAGATGGGGTTTCTTTTTTATCCCCAAATTTCGACAAAATCTAGCCTACCTAGTTTGAAAAAAAATTGATAAGTATTAATTGGATAGGGGTTTGTCATAATGTTTGTGCATGCAAAAAGATAAAACAGTCAATAGCAAAATTAAATATGACAAAATAAAAAAAAATTCAAATTTTTTTTTCAATCAAGCAACCATTAATTACAATATTCGTGAAATATATAAACTAGATAACTAACAATGATTCAATAGCAACTTTAAGAATGTTTTAAAGATAAATTAATTAACAAGGAATGAACATCAATTTTAATATAATGTATTAATATATGCAATGGCTACTTAGGACACTTAGAAAAAACTCATAAAGAGCTATCAAGCTAAGAGCCCCCATTTAGATTTATTTATTTTGGTAAACTAGACTAGAAAAGAAGAAAAGAAGAAAATATATAGCATCCATTTCTTATTTCTAAACTTCTATAAAATGTAATCAAAAAGAAATCCTGAATTTGATCTGGTTGTAAAACTGAGCAGGAATTAGTCACAAGGTTATTTAATTAAAGAATTCACCAGATTCTGTCACCAAGGACTTTTGAACATGCTTCAAAGATACCCTGGTATAAAGTGAGAGATGCAGAGTTTGAGAGGTGGTGCAAGCCCAGCAAACTTTTCACGCTATGCAATGTCTGAAAGGCCTTTTCTCTCTACTTGAATGTGTAAATATTCAATTTTTGAAAAAATTTCAGTTTATCATGTATATTGTTTCATATTGATGGGTGCATTTATCTAGCCGCTAGAAGAATTATTTTGAAGCATAAACTTAGAACACTTATTGCTTGGTTTCATCTAACAACCACATTTAAAGATTGAATGATTACAGCCCCCCTCATTAAAATAAAGGAAGGTGCAAGAATGAAACAAGCATAGACTTAAATGGCAATATCAATGAAAGAAAAATATTAATTGTACCAAAATAAGATTTAGAACAAACAGTTTACCTTGATGTCAAAATTGCCTTTGCTGCCATGTTGATTTACCCATGAGTTAGAATATCTAAAGGACAAGGTATTTCAATTTCATGAAAGCTTAGCAAATGATAATTGTGTTTGAAGGGCAAACCAAAGCAGCATAGATATCTAGCACACAAAAAACTTAACTAAATAAAGATTTTATAAGAAAGAAAAGTAAGAAATGCATAGAAAACTTGAAAGCGCAATTATCCTATCCTTATTGTTTTATCCTTTCCTACTTATAGTTTGTGTTATTTTTTAAGTAATTCACTGAAGGTGACTGTAGCTAGATATCAAATGTTTGAAAAACTGATTATGCATGGGCTCCGACAAGGGTTGAAAAGTGGTGGGGGGCCAAGGGAAAATTTAAAACCCATTAGAAAAGATTGAAAAAAAACTCTATTGTTTTGCAAAAAAGTGGGGGGGGGCCAAGACCCCCCCCCCCCTTCGTTGGAGGCCCTGTTATGTCATACTAATTTTGTCTTACTGATTATGTCAAACTTTGTTTCATGATTTTTGTCATTTATGGATAGGATGATGAATTGAAATTCAGGAAATGTCTCTTTTCGTTGCGGCGCTTATTGTGTGTTTTATTGTAACTCAAAGTGGAAAAGTCTTGAATGGCCTATGATGTCACAAGTGCTATACAGGATCCACCAGCAAAAATGCTTCAAATATGCAGGAAAAAGGGGCCATATGTTCACTAGATTCCATTGGTTAACTTTAAAGATAACCAAGTTTTTTATTTGTTTCATTGCGTGTGGATCTTGCTAAAGAAATTAGATTAATGATTGTAATGAATGCCAAGTTTTCTTCCAGGTTAGACATGATATCTGCTCTATATCTTTTACATGCATGCTCAATGACATGGAAGATTATATCTGTACGAGATCAACTTAGTTGCTGGCAAGTAACCTCTTCAAATAGATCATGACAGTTTTCAGGAACTTAGATTAAGTTAAACCCCCTGTAATTAGAGCTAAGTTGGTTCCTTTAAAAAACAGTTCCATGTTTTCTCCTTCCAGGAAAGACACAAGACATGTGGTAACTTAGACTGTGCATATACTGCTTTCTATCTCTAAAAAACACAACATGATTGAAATTCTCATCAAAGATATCCTCATCATCATTTTCCTTGAAAAGTGAGTGTAGCTGGGTATAAGTGCATTGAAATTCCACTTTGGCTTGAACACCTTCACCCTGTTTATCTCTGGGAAGTAGATCTGAGTATTCCTCTTTTGCAAGATATAAGTCATGTCACTTCTATCAAGGGAGTCTAGTACCTTCTGCTTGGCCTCATCACTCATAGCAGATGCCCGTCCACAGTTTAATTGGCATGATAAGTGTGAGGTCTTTTTTACCCATTTTCCAATAATCCTTTTCCTTTGGAGTAGCTTCAATTGCCCTCTTGAACAACATTTCTATCACTTCCTTCTTCTGAATTACTATCAAGAGTAAAGCTTTGATATCCCTAATAATCCACCTGTCCTAGTCATTGTTGATTTATCAGTGGAAACCATCCAATTGTGAGATAATTTTTCCAAACATGGAAAATTACTTTTGGCAGTTGAAGACAGTTCGGAGTTAATTCTGATATCAAATATGTGACATGGCCAACTTTGAGGGTTTCTTGTGATAATATTTATTGACATTTTGCCCTCTGCTCTAGATTGTATTCTCTAGAGACTATAGTGAGATTGTTTGAGTGGATTTTAGGCCTATAATTATTTTTATTGGTGAGCAATAAAACTTTCCTAGAGCCATTCTTTATGACTGTGTGATATGCACATCCCTACCCATATATTTAGAATAGTCAAGTTTCCAGTGCTCAGAAAAATGAATGCAATTGAACTATTAATAATAACCTTGCAGAAAGTGTGTTATGTTTCAACTTAAGCCCATAATAAACAAAAGCCAGGACTTAAATATATTTTTTCTGTGAATTTTGAGGGTCTCAATTTTACATTGTCTCAAAACCATACACATTCATCAAGAGGTAAAAAAATTATTGTTTCTCAAATTTGAGATACTTCTAAAAATTTTCAAACAGTCAGATATAAAAACTAATTGATGACAAATAATTTGAACCAAATATCAACCACTTTTAAATAGCACCACCTATCAACAGCATAGATCATATTCATTTCTTTTGCTGCAGTTGGTTTTGAAAGTATTCACAGAATGTTCACTGATTTAGAAAATCTGACACATTAAGGTTACATAAACTGTGCAACTTATTAGAGCAACAGAGGATGTTTGCATATGGGATGGGTGAGCTCAATTACTGCCATTTGGTCATTTTGGGACGTTTTTCAGCATCCAACTAATAGCTTTGAGTCATTTTTCAAGTTAGTATCATATTTGTAGATTATATATAGAGAGAGTCAATTTTTAATATCCTAGACTCAGAAAGATGCTTGAAACTGCCAATAAAGGAAATTTGAACTGCATGATGATTAATCATATCAAAGCTTAGGAAAGATGAAAAACCTTTACATTTGAGTTACATTCAAAAAAGTCATTTCATATGCCTTAGGCAGTTAAATACAATCGGATTTTGCCCATTAACCTCCAAATAGGCAACATTTTGAGTGTTAAACACATTTTGAAATATTTTTTCTCTGACCCAGGTTTGCCTTTAGTGAAATAAAATGTTGAGCAGCTGATCCAGGTTTGCCTTTAATGAAATAAAATTGCTAAACAGCAGCATAAGTTGAAATTTATTGGCATTGTAATGTCTGCACTGCTTATACTCTTACATTCCTGAATTACATTGTAATGCTGAATGCTTTCATTGACATTTCAATACGTCGAAACTGCTTTGTTGTTTTCAATACGTAAAATTGCAAGACATTATTACAAATATTACATTACATATACATGCAATCATTTGTAGCTCTAAAAAGTATTTCAAATGAATGTTGGCACTTGGAAACTTTCCCATTGTCAAATCAGGCTGATTTAAAACAGGTTGGGTTATTCCAGCTCTAGTCATGTTTAAATATAACATTGTGCTCTTTCAGCAGTTTTTATTCTTGTGCAATGGGTTTTTAATATTTCCTTGTAAATGGGATATACTTCAATGGCATACTACTACCTATCCCAACAATGAATTGTTTCTAAATAATTGCAGAAGAGATTTAAGATGGTTTAAGAAGCTACCATGCAATAAAAAACATAAACATTCTTGAACACTCAAACATGCCATTCATTAAGTATGTGAAAAAATAACCTTTGTTTCGATCCTTTATTAGTACAATGTACGTTGTAACAATGTAAATTGACAAAGCCTAAATTTGGTTAAATTTAGAAAAACGCAATGCAATTATTTGAAATGTTCGCACAAATATTTTCACAAAAACCTGTTATAAGCAGCCTCATTAGATACAAATCAACTGACCCGTGGCCTCAATTAGTAAAATAACATCAATTTCAATTGCAAAAACCGGAACCCCTTGCAACAAGTTAGGCCTATTGTTTACATGGGCAAATTACATCGGCCTATTTTGAAACCAACAAATGAAAACTTTTCATTTAAAAGGTCACTAGAAAATGAATTAAATAGTTAGTATAATTCATGAAACAGGTAAAGAAATGTCATAACCGAGAACATTGCATACCAAAAATTCTCCATTTCTTCCTGCACCCCTGTTCCCTCGTACGACTGAGCTCACTGACGGCTGATCGGTGCACTGGGACCAAGTTTAGAACCCAACTTCGTCATCGAAACACACCAACGACAGACGATTTCTTCTAAAAAAGCACCCTATGACAGGGTATTCACGGGGTACTTAGGGTACGTGCACTCCCACTCCATCTCTTCTAACAAGCGGATGAAGCTGCTAAAAATCTATACCCACCCTAACACTAACCTAAACATAAATAGTCTTAGTGGGGTCATAGTAACATTTTCTGTCTACTTCTGTACGTCCCTCAAGGATCCATCACTGGCTCATTCCTTTTTTAATTCCAAGCAAGGATCTAAATTTACAATATTGATTCCAGACATTCATAAACATTTTTCGATGCTGTAAACAGTAATAATTATTTCTTATTCGGATAAAAAATAAATACCACGATGAAATATTAGTTAACTTTCTCTGCATTTTACTCACAAATTGGATTTATTTACAGTGGGTAGCTCCTCATCAATTTTTTTCTCCTACAAATCGTTTGTAATTGTGTTGTTACCTTAATTAAGTAAGAGTTGGTGGCACATGCAGAAACCACAATAAAGTCCACTTAGGCCGAAAATCTCTGTTACCTTGAAAATAATTTCAGATTTCTAGAAATTTTGAGAAGGCAAATTCCAATTATCATTATTGCTAATATTCAATCCACTTCGTTGTATGATAACTTTGTCTAAAATATCAATAATACATTTTTATTTACCGATACCTACATCACTAACACAAAAATTCTGTGATTCGAAAAAGAAAAGAAATTTACTAGCAAATTAGAACAGAAATTCATTCCTCGGAACAAATAATCGCTAAAAATTTTTTATTACCGATCAAATGAAAGATAACGATAATATAGTTAGCAAATAAATTGAGTACCAGAATGAAAATAAAATAGTTAGATTGTTAAAAACACAAATAGTTAGGTTTGCTGTTTTCAACAATCTAAATATTTTATTTTCATTCTGGTACTCAATTTATTGCTATCTGTTTATTTCGGATGAAGTACCACACGTAACGTACATGTTCAAATGAAAGGTGTCGACGACAGTTTTGACAAAAAATAAATTGACAGAGGGGCGGAAATTCAATTTTTTGATGGGGTAGCAAAATGTCCAAAGGAAGTGAATTTTCCAAAAATTATAAATTTTCCGACCAAAGCACTTACCTACCAAGGCAAGTTACCAAAACATGGGGCTCTGGTCCCTTACAACTGCATGACCAGTTGTAGACAAATGAGTATAGTTCGTAGGGGGCGTCATGATTCGCCTTTCAGTAGAGCAACGAACTATATAAATTGCATTTTAGGACTTTACAAATGCAGCGTTTCAGCGTGGTCCTAAGCCTGATTCTTAGGTACTTTTAGGGTCAGGTAAAAAAAGATGCCCTCGGTTCTCCCGTCCGCTATCATTCACTCCACTATAGGCTCAACTTTGCTACGTCACAAAAAGCACAGAGAAATAATGAAACAGAAAATTTATCTGCGACAGTCTTCCACGATGCCGATGGATGTTGAGATATCACTTTGTTGCCACTCCCTCCGCTATCAATGAATCGCGAGAAGTTGTGTCCCAGCAAAGATCTACAAACGGATTTGCAGGACAAAAGTCCAAACCAAGTGGTGGTATGGCGTTGAGGTTAATCTAGAACCACATCACTGTATAATCAAGAGCTCTGGTTCCGTATAGATTTTATTTAATATTTAATAAACATGGTTAGTCTACAAAAATCGGGCTATTCACAGATTGGACAGACCAGAGCAATCAAGCATGTTCTATATCTGCTTCACACCGAGCATAAAATGTCAACTCTTGGTCACCATTTCATAATCCATTCTGATTCGAGAGCCAGATGAAAAACCTCCCAGCAAGCATATACCAACTATCCTCGATTTATCACCGAGGACATTCATTTATTATAAGGGATATCTATTTAAAACTGCTGTCGAGTAAAATTTTGAACATGGCATTATCTTTTCTAAGCATAAAGCAAAACGTTTCTACGGCGATTTGCTCGCCCTTAAACTACAGTATACAATGACTAGATTAAGTATCATAACGTCTAGATTTATTTTCATGATATCTCGCAAAGATATATTTTTATAAACAGACACGATTAAGACGCAAGATAGAACATGGACAAGGAGCAGAGAAACGCAAATTTCCAAAGCAATTCTCAGATCCAAGAATCATGGTAGGAACTTTGAAGATGGGTATTCAAATTTTCAGTCAATTTGGGATAGGGGAGTTCATTGAAAACGTATTTCTTTGCAGGGAGGCCTACTCAAGCAAGGAAATGCAGGCGTGTGTATTCGCATCAATAAACAATCTATGTGACTTGCAATAAAATATAAAACTCTCTTAATTAATCAAATTAAGAAAGTTTACAAGCACAATATCCAAACGCCTTCATCATTATCCTATCTTCTCGATATTGGCCGAAATATAACATTACTCTAAAAAAATTGATACAAGAAGGATTTTTATGTGGAATCCTTTCACTAAATCAAATGTGATGTGCTCACTATTTACTCCCTCCCTTGAAGTACCAATTTTAACCTTCTACCAATATGATAAACAATTAATGTATGGTACTCAAAGATCGAAGATAAACCCAAGTAAGTATTATTCTAAACATTCTAGTCTTATCCCATATTCTCTTTTCACTATATTCATCATATCCCATATTCTCTCTCTACATACCATTAAATATAAAAATGATAGTGTACAATTTAAATCCTTGAGTTTTCTGCGACAGTAATTCTTAAAATTTTACGCACAATGGAACAAAAGCCAGAGTGTTGATCAGTACCTTGGGTTTAAATAACGAATTCTTTCTTCTTTGGCCTTGCGTAAATGACTGAGCTGCAAGACAAATCGAGCAATTATCAATATGCGTACAAAGAGCTTCTTGAACACACGCATACAAAAATTTCTTTGATGAAAATACTTGTGCCTGTTTTACGCATATCTCATAAAAGCTGGGCACGATATCATGGTGGCACTGAACGGGTGGGTAGGTTTGCTAGTTTATAGGGTTTCGTAACTTTATGGCAATCACAAACAACCCAGTCACGCTATGGATATATATCATAAAAATACGAGCTGAAGATAAATTGGAAATGAAAAGGCAAGCGCAGATTGTTTAATAATTAATATTCCTTGACATCATACTTTATTTGCAAAGATCTAGATGGATTAGAAACCAAGACAAATTTTTAAATTTGCATGAAGAGATTACATGATTAGAGGAATTAATACTTATTTGTCAAATTTGTAAACAAAAGACAAGCAAAAAGAACATATTTATTAAGCATATTTCATACATTCCAATAAAAAATAATCACATATGCTACAGGCTACACTTCTACCAAAAAACCCCTTTACAACAATATGGGGAACGATGCAACGGGCAGTAAAAGGCTGTGACTTCCCCAGGGCCACTACATGAAATTAAAACTTAAATTGACTGTCTCAAACTATATGCCTCAAACGAGTGCTTTTGCCATCAGAATAACGTAAGCAAAATTTGACGAAAGAATGCTTATAAAGTACATCAATTCTGAAGCAGTCAGTAGAACAAATAGAATCTTCACAAGGCAAGGTACAAATGAACGTAACGAGTAAATATTACAAGCAAAAACAGTTTATATGCGATGACCTCTCTCCTTGATTGACAGCTGATACATTACCAACTGTTCATTTTAATGATTTCAATGAGTAGCAAGCACTCTGCAGGACTGGAATGCCTCTTCAATATCAATTTTATCGAATAAAAAAGAAATAATAAAAAAGAACCTACCTTCCTTTGCTCTAAAAAACTCTCTAGAAATTGATTCACCGGTACTTTTTCTGTGAAAAAATTGGGTATAATATAAAATGGCTTTACAAAGCTGAAAGTAGGTCAACGCAAACAAAAGCCTAGGCATTGGCCAAGCATGACACTACCCTTTTTTATCAGATAGTTTTTCATTTATTCCTAAAGAAGGTGCAACTGTTTCATACCTTTATGCCGGAAACCTATCCATAAGGCTACCTTAAAAGATCAGAAGTTAAAAGATTTGTGTATTCTACGAAATTTAAAATTTGATTAATTTTTCAAGATCTTAAGGACTTTTTTCCGAGCATGCAGTGTATCCCTTCATGTTGCCTCTAAAGAACCCTTCATTTATTTCATTCTTTTTGAACGACCTTGCCCTAAAGCGGTTTCAATGTTCCTAGCAATGCTCTTTTTAAGTAGCCCCTCGAAAACTCTTGTTAAATTCTAAATTATTTCCCCAAATTTAAACGTCAGAGTTCTCAACTCCCAAATCCAAATTCTAAACCGAGACTCTCCCATAAGGGCATCCGTCGTAACATTTTAACAACCGGATTTATTGGTCAGGAATTTGGAGATCTTTTCATAACTATAGTTCATTATAGTTTAGCTTTAGGTGAAAGGTATCTGATACATAAAATTAAAAATCTTAGGAAACAAATCTTTAAGCTCAAAATAACGATATGCGTCAAAAATGAGACAATTTTCGAAATTATAAAGCAGGGAATTGATTAATTTAGAAACGATTTTGAATTTCAGTATAAGTGAAATAATACCACCAAAAGACGTAGAATACCAAAAATGTTCATTTAAGTCCAGCAGAACTGAAAGAAACCTTTGCAAATTAGGGAAGAAGTAGTGATAGGAATCGAAAATCCAAGTAGGAAGCAGAAAAACATGGAAGACTTAAAAAAAACGTCCGGAGCAAAGAGTTGAAGCAAAAGTTTTGTTTTTAAATATGATTTCTTAGCTGTAGAGAATGTTATTTTTCACAGAAATAGGCTGCATTTGCAAAATCAGCTTACAAATGTCGAGACCGTAATCAAATGTTGCAAAAGAAGGAAAGTTAATAGAAGAAATTATTTACATACTTGTTAAGAAATTTTCAGCTATTTCCTGCAAAGAATAAGGAAAAAATGTATATCTTATTAACATATTTTATAAGATACAAAAAGGCTGGTATAGCATAGAATTTCACCAATGCAAGAAGTAGGGATCAAGCCTAATAAATTTGTCATGCAACGAAATAGCTTTTAAACGAGAAAACTTTCGATCCTAGGGCGTTCAGGCTATTCTTACATACCTGAGATCCAAAACCAAATAATTTCATTAAAGAACTATTATATGTACAATAACATGTTTTTTAAACGTCCTCAAAACAAAAACCGCTTTTTAGTTGAAGTTAGCAAAACATCAGCAGCTTTTTCAATACTGAATAAAAACTACTGAGATCATCCGAGCTAATACATCGTCTCCCCCAACTCCAAATTCGACTTTTGCATTTGGCATTTCATGAATTGTAAAAAACTAATACTCAATATTTATTCAGGGGAAAGGACTGTTTCAGATAAAGATTAAATCTAATTTAAGAATCGCTGAACAAAAAAATTTTTACAACTTGGCCTAAGATAAGATGTTTTGTGCGTTGAAACTGGATGGCCTAAATTAATTGATTGAAAAATCAAAGCAGGATTTCCAAATAAAGCCTATGTAAAAATTTTGGTATTTTCTTGCTTAAAAGATTGAATCAAGGGCATTTGTGGCCGACGGATTTTTTTTCGTACTATCAAAAGTTCTTTAGACCTGCTAGGCTGAATTCGCGGAGTGAAAGGTCTGGCACGTTATACCGAGAAATTCTTCACAAAAATGGAGTTCATTTGTGCAGAATTCAAAGTGCACTGACTTTTGTTTGTTAGTATCTATAGATGCCCTTTAACTCAATCTTTGTCATTTATCTGTCGCCCTCTTTATCTTTAGGTTTAGTCCCTTCTTTGACATTATCTATCCAACGTCCACATACAACTAATCTGAGATAAACTTGCATAAGATGAATACCAAGGGAAAAGTTCTAAATAGTCACTTTAGTGAGTGATCTTCGAACAGAATAATTATCGGTGAGACCAACTAAATGCAGTCATGTTACCTCAGACGATTCATCAGCTTGAGAAATTGCTATTCTCAGATTGGTTACAACTTGATTCAACTCAAAAACCTTAAATAAAAAATAAGTGAATCAGTAATTAAGAAAAATTGATAAGTATAAAACGATTAAAGCAACAAATTCAAATTAGAGGCTGAAAAAGTTAGGGAAAGCTTGGAAAATAAGGAGATGGTGGCGAAATTAGCAAAATCTGAGGAAAGCTGGGAAAAAGGAAAACAGGTTGAAGTTGGGAGAGTTAGGACTTAGGAGAGTTAGGATTAAATCAGGAAATTAAAATGCTAATGGGGAAATCGAAATATAATTTCCAAGACGTTTTCGAAAAATAGTAGGAAATCGATGGGACTGAAGCCATTCCCAATGTCAATCTTACACTATCTATTTGACCTTGATACCGAGCAATTCGAAAAAATTCCTTGGCATCAACTAGCTCTTCGACTTTCACTGTCTTAGGTCACGTGCATAATAATGACGCGTATAAATCTAGGCGTATCTCATCGATAAATAGTGAAACCATCGAATGAACATGGTTTATGCTCTTCAAGCTTTCATTAAGACAGACATTAGGTAGGTTTTTGCAGCCACAAAGTGAAGTGGGTCATTTTTCTCGTATTACAACTACTTTTTGGTCACAATTACAGCAGATATGTAAGTCAAACCTGAAACAGTTCATTTTGCTGCATGATTTTAGATTGCAACTCCGATTCGAGGGATCTGACTTTTTCAGACTTGCTCTTCAAGCTTGATATCAGTTCTTCCATTTTTGGCTTCAGTGACAGATTTTGCTCTGAATAAAAACAGCAACAGGGTTAGTGTAGAGTAACAAAAGGCTCCGAAAAGTTCACCATTTCTCAATAAAGATTTTAAGAGATAAGCGCTTCATTTATTAGAGTTAGGTTGTCAATAAACAGAAACGTAAATGGCAGCAAATGTGGGTGAGATGTTACTTGGAGATAATATTTAACAGCTAGTCCAGCTGATTTTTGGAAAAAAAATTCCTGCAGGAACGAGGTCTTTTATATCTATTTAAATGAAAAATTTGACTACAGGACAAAGGGCGCATCCGTCGTAAGGGATACTCTATCTGAAAGCCAAGATGTTGCCATGGACCTTCGTTGACTTAGCGGTAGTTCCAACCATTAATCCCAACTGATCTCTTGTATGAAAGAATAATTGGCAGCCCTCCAAATGAAACGAAAAAGTCAAAAATTGATTAGCAAGTAGAAAGTATCAAGTTTAACGTCCGCAAACCTGATATAGGCTCAGAGAGTATATCACAAGTTACAGAACTGGTTGATACGGTTTTTCAATGTCAAATCATGGTTTTTATCATGTGGTGCATCTTTTCGATCGTTATTCTCCACTACGTCTGTCTCAATTCAACTCAACTTCCTCATTACTACTACCAAATGTCAAAACGGCGGATAAAGAATTTTTTCTCCTCATTTTAACGTTCCAGCAGCATTGCAAACTGATTTATAGAAAGTACAGATACATTTAAGAGCATTTTAAATAAAAAACAAAAAACCAGATTACCTGCCAACTGTCTGTTGCTTTCAAGAAGATCTTTTCGTCTTACCTGAAGTTCTTTTATCTAAAATGCATTGGAATAAAAGAGGATGCTAATACACGTACATTTATATTAATAAGCACAATATCTCGATGCTGCATATGCAGATCTGCACATGTTTTGGCGCGGCAAACATCTACAACCCTCCTGCTTACACAGCATGTGGCATGAAGAAGATTGGAATTCCAAACAGTTCTTTTCTTTCGAATATAATTTCTTACTTCTACTATCATTCAGTTTACCCAAACATTCTTTCTTTTTACTTGTACACCTTCCCCTTTAATTTATTGTAAATGCAATTTGTTTAGTCGGTCGATATGAACGATGTGGCGATACGAGCGATGAGGCTTATGGTCGATATGAACGATGAGGCTTGAAAAATTCAACGTTATTGGCTGTTATCCCTAGTTATTAATCAACCAAGCATGATTTTTTCCAGTGAAAGCTTAATTGAGCACAAGAAGAGACATTTTGGGACAGACTTCAAGAGATTTGTAGTTAACTGTTAATTGACACAGAATTGTGATGCACTTCCGTGCTCTCGATGGTATCGTATTGTACATTGTGTCTATTGTAAACTGTTATGAGCGCAAATAAAAAATCAATGTTTGGTCTTTCCATCATTGGAGAAGGTTGTGATGTTTGGATACGTAGAGGGGCACAAAGCAGAGGACGACCGAAATACAAATGGGCTGACAACATCAAGAGCTTGGTAGGTGCCTCCTTAGCGGACTACATTCGCCAAGCACACGACAGAAGACGGTGGGATAGTTTGATAGAAAGATTTACTAGCAGTCAATCTCCTGGCTGAATGAATGAATGAATGAATAAATGAATGAATGAATGAATGAATGAATGAATGAATGAATGAATGAATGAATGAATGAATGAATGAATGAATGAATGAATGAATGAATGAATGAATGAATGAACGAATGAATGAATGAATGAACGAATGAATGAATGAATGAATGAACGAATGAATGAATGATGATGATGATGATGATGATGGTCTGTCCCAGTAGGAAATCGCATAAACTTACCTCATCTAGGTTCACGACGAACGATAACAGTTTGTCATAATCTTTTCCTAAACTTTCCAGTTCTTCAATCCTGCGTTGCGGAAAAAACAGTATGAAGTAATGAATGGATACAGGGCGAGTCTAGAAAGCAGTAGTGTTGTTTTCGCTTTTGAAAAAACTACGAACATTTTCATTGCTAACTTAAAAATCTTCAAAGTCTAGAAACAATTATCTTTGATTAACGTGTCATACATCTTGGGCAAAACGGTTCAAATTCATTTGACAATATACTTTACTCGCCAGTTTATTCAAACAGTTTTCATGAACTTGGACAAATCAGTTTCTTCGTTTTGTCTGAAAACTTTAACCAATTACTACGTTAGTGATTAACTAGATATTCTTTTGCAATATTACACTCAAACTAATAGGGAAAAGTTTCAAGGGACCTAAACTATCTGTGCACTACGATCAGTAAGAATCTTGCTTAGAAGGTTACTGTTTAATTTATTTTCTATAACTCAATAACTTCTCAAGCCTTCTTGAAACAAAGCTGTTTTTCGACTAGAATTCTAATCATGACCTCTCTATATTTCAGAATTACCGGAAACCGAAAGAAAGGAACGAGGGCTTATAACAGCTTAAACATCTCAATTTATTTAGAACTATGTATTGCAATGATGCAACAGTCTCTCATAATTAAGGAATAATAATAAACAGCCTGTTTTGTTTAAGCTTTCATAATTAATGTAGCCACGTGGTGGATATATATTTTCAATCCCAGTCGCATCATTTGTGTAGTGTTTTTTGAAATAATTTTAAAATAACTCATAATCATTGTAGCTTGTATTTTACCTTGTAAGTTTTCAATTGAATGCAAACAAAAATAGCTAGACAGTTTTTGCCAATTTGAGTCTAAACTGGTCTAGGTAAGGCAGGATCCCCTTCTGTAATTGCCTTCCAAGTTTACATGAATAACTGAAAGATTTCAACAGTTTAAATCATGAAATCATTTTTACTCACGAAAGGGCTTGTAGTGCATGAAAGAGCTCTTCTAAACTTTTGCAATCTGATGGCTTCTAGAATGAAAAGGTATAACTTGGATCAGTGACAAAGTATCATTTTGTATGGCAGCTAAGTGAGATCGTCTCTGCATTCTATTTCACTGTAATCGGACGAGAAACCGTTACATCGCATTATGGGGCCTGGGCACCAGCCTGTTTGTTATCCTTGGGAAAATTACGTTTCCAGAATGTAAAAAGAAGATGTACGTAACCAATTGTATATTTATTTGCCATAAAAAGACAAACCGTACAGTGCTCTAAGCTAAAAACATTTAAAATGAGTATGAGTATAAGTTCATATGATGATAAAATGAAATTAAAAGAACTAAAAGATTACTAACGATATCATGAAACTAAATTCAAGATTTAAAATAGAACAATGAAACCTCTAAATGATGGCAATGACAACATAAAAAGGAACAGAAAAGATCTTGTGTCTATGAAGTTCCCTTTTAGAGGAAGAAAATGCAAAACTTTTGTCAACATTAAAAACATCTTTGAGTGCGCTAACGAAACACGAGCTAACACCAAATGAATCTAAGACGTATGATGGTTCATTCGCTTGTTCTGTCACTTTTTTTCTAAAAAAGCCTTAATTTTGCTCGAAACTATTAAAGTTTCTAAAGACTTCATGTCAGAGCGCCAAATATTTCTAAGTTTTTGTCAATTTTTTTGTTCTTAGTCTCTGAGCATGTGGATGTAGCCATTTGATAGTTTAAATGTTGTTGCAATATGGCAGAATTTGAACAGAATGACTATTTGACCGGTTCTTTGCGGGGAGCCAATTGATTGATGATTCGGTTATTCGCGGATTAGGTAAAATCTAGTGCATTTATTTTTGGTTTTGCAATTTCTTTGCCATCCGCGTTTGTTGCTCGAGGAACCAGGCAGCAGATGCATAAGTGGGCTTGCACGTGAGCATTCAGAAAGTAACCTTCAATGTGACTGATTCATAATACTTTAATTCCTCCAAAAAAACCTCACTTTGCATTGAATTTCAGGGCCTTTGACTGCCATTGGCTCGCCAGAAGGCTTTCCTCAAGAATGCAGCCAAGATATGTCATTTTAAGATTGCTGTTTGATCCTAAAGTTACCCATTTTATTATCAAGCTTTCTCAAATTTGTTCATTTCTTATTTCTTTCAAAAACGTTTTGTTTTTTTCAAAGTAAATGCTTAGTTTCTTGCAAGCCATTTACAGAAAAAGTTGAAATCAAGGTTAAATTTATCCTGTTATTTACCCATGTCCTCATTCTTTAAAACTAGACAAGAATCGTTAAGAAGAGGGAGAAGATCACATTCAACCGTGCTTGGCAGGTCGTTTACATATACAAGGATCATAAGTAGACCAAGAATAGATCCTTGAGGAATTTCATATGATAGCTTACCGGTAGAAAAAAATCGTACCAAAGTTGGCTAAAATAGTCCGATTTTGTATGTAAGATTTGAAACATAGGACAACAGATTCACTGAAACCGAATGGATGCTAGCAATAACGCTTTCTTTCATTCTGATAAAGGTTTAGGAAAGTGACTTTTTCAGAAATACTATGTTAAACTGTTAATTCAAACCCTTTTGTTACCTCTCACTTGCTATATGAAAGGGGTTGGTATTATCACTGTTTCATTTTTATGCCGATAAGAAATTCAGCTTGACTATTTCATCACCTACTATTATATCAGCTATTCCAGCTATTCGAAAATTGAGTAAACTCTCAAGAAATCCATCCGAAATGCTTATTAGAGATGGAGGGCCTGGATTTATTTCCAAGAAGAGTAAACTCACACAATACATCCGAGGTAGTGTTTGATATCAAGGAAGGGGGGGGGGTGCATAATTTCAGAAAGTGTTTCTTTTTTGGCAGCCAAGATTCAATATAGAAAAAGCGTATGGTATTTCAAATGTCTGATCACAAGGGAAAGATGACTTTAAGCGTAATATCTAGGAAGTCAAACCTTTGAAGTTGACGACTTATTATCCTCTTCGACAGTTTCAGTCGATATAAGAATAGCCGTAGGTGTTGATGACGTAACGGGTTCGTAGTTTGGAAACGAGGTTTTCCGATAAGAACTATCAAAAGTAGAAAGATGTATCACATATTTGAAATCAATGACATCGAGGTAACTGAAATAAACTTCTAACAATCGTTTACATACCAACCTGAAAACAGTTTCATATTTGCAAATATATTTGCATAAATGTCAACTTTTTCAAACATTATAAATGACAATCAAAAGCAATGTCTCAAATCTTCTTTGCCAGAGGATGATTTATTGCTCTTTGTCCGTGGCCATACCCACATAGTCTCTGCTCGGACAATTGGTTCTTGATATTTCCTACTTGTAATTCTATTCATAGTGTCTTCGCTTCGTTTTTGGTCCTGCAGGGTCCCTCCTATTAACTTTCTTAGCCCTCTCATTTCTGTTCTTTAAACATTCTTTCCCTTTCTAGTTAGTATCTGATCCATGAGGCAATGATGGTCTTACTATGTCTTACAAACTTTTATATTTAGCTTCAAATCCTTAAACTTAATTGAGTAGTAGCTCTCGGTCCATTAATAAATTGATGATAAAATGAGCAAGTTTAGCAAACAACATTACAAAAACAGTTTTCTCCAGGTTATAAATAATCACATATCATAAGGGAAATTTACCTTTGAGCCAGGACTCTTGGTGGATTGGTCCTTAGGTCTTCTACAATCTGTCTGATGACTTTTCCCAAATTTGAATGTATGTAAAACTAAGAGCCAAATTATATTGTACAAAACTACTTAAAAAGTAATATCCAAATTGATAATTACAAATAACTTTATTACCCTATCTTACAGTTCTACAAATGGTCTTTCATTCATTCATTCATTCATTCATTCATTCATTCATTCATTCATTCATTCATTCATTCATTCATTCATTCATTCATTCATTCATTCATTCATTCATTCATTCATTCATTCATCCATTCATTCATTCATTCATTCATTCATTCATTCATTCATTCATTCATTCATTCATTCTTATATTACACAAATACATTTTTTACAAATGGTCTTATCTCAAGATAATTGAATGTAGAAAATTGTGTTTAATTTTCAGCTACCAGCTGTCAGAAACATGAAGGGTCCAGAGCAATCAAAATCAATTTGGGTATCTATATTTCCACAACTTCTATGAAATTTAAAGATAAAGAATATATGTGAATTGCCCCTTATGGTCTATACAACAGGGACCCTAATGAAGACAAAATAAAATCACTGGTTTCCTAAAGCTACTTAAATCAGAAAATATACCGATTGTCCATAATATTTTATAGGTAGCAAGTGCTTAGACAATTTTAAGATTTTATTACTTTTGGCAAATAAACATATTTCAAACAATTAAAACTTACTGTCTTGAGAGAACTGCAATTCTTAAGAAACATCTAAAAAAGAAAAGAGAAATGTATGATGCAACAAATAAACACACAATATGAGCTTTGGCACTTCAGATTACCAAATAGAAACATATTAAATAAATAAAGTTAATAAAAAATCAAGAAATAATGAAAATTTCTGTTTACCGGTCTGTCATAAAGAGCCATATGTGGTAAAGCAAAGCTGTACATGCTATCCGGTGTATAGAATAGGACAGTTGTAAGTTGCTACTCCCAGTTTCATGCTTAGTGCAATCATCAAAAGACCTTCTTCTAACTGTTGCCTGATGATTGCACTAAGCATGAAACTCAGAGTAGCAACTTAAAACTGTCCTGTTTTATACACTAAATAACTAAAAAATACATTATTTCACTGTTTCATCTTGACAATGTGCAACCGATGTAATGCTTTTGGTGAGACACAAGTATAGCAGTAAAAAGAGAATCATGGTTGACTGGGCAAAGTCACTTGACTAGGTTTCATTATTTGTTGATACAGGGACCTTCTTGAAAGCTTATGATTGGCAAGATTTTTAGGCTACGTAATAATCCTTTAAGTTAAATAGAAGCCTATTTGTATGGGAGAATGCCATCCTACCTGGTTGGATGATTCTGTAAGAGAACTTCATCTCAATTGCTGAGATGGATATAAAAGATCATTAGCATTGACACTTGAGCAGCTTCATCCTTGTAAGCAGTGCATTACATGCATGGGAATAGATACCAGAGGTACAGGGGGCAAATACTCCTTCAATATTTCCGAAATAGAGGTACAATGACTATTTTCAGCTCTGGGATGTGCCCCTATATTTAACATGACTTCTTTATTCCTGTTCATATGGATGAATTCTTGTATCATCTTCCATGAATCTATTTAGCTTGGCAAAATCTTGTAGATGGATAGCTTCCTTTCCTATTTGAACAGAAGCTAAACTTAGCCCACATCTTAGCTAAAGTTGCAATCCTGTTAGATGGGATGAAACCTTTCCTTATCAACTTTGAGGGAACATTTATTCAGTGCATACATTTTAAGAAAGTCTTGAAAATTATATTTCAGACTTTGGGTTTGTTATTATTGCAAGCAATTGAAATGCTAACCATTTTATAAATGAATTGTGGGAAGAAAATTTGCAATTCATGATATAAAAACCCTGAGTATCAATCCCAGTTTTTAACCAATCTTTGATGTAAATAAGATGCTTCAATGTGACTTACCCCTTCATCCAACCAAGGATGTTGGCTGGCTGGTGAAAGATGCACGATTGGCTTTTCATTTGGGAACTGGGGTGGCAATGTTCTAAAAAGCAGTACACATAGACCAAAGTATTTCCATGGTACATAAAGCAGTAAGAATAATTGGTAATTTATTTCCATTTTTGTTATGTATTAATGTATTTTCAATCTAAAACATGATAAGTTTATATAAATGTAGTCCTTGTTTTCAATCAGCTTTGTATATAATTTCCAGTTTCCTCAAGTTTTGTATATAATTTTCATAGATACATTTGTTCAAATCAAATTTTAATTAGTTTAAAGGCCATCTCTGCCATTGTACCTATATTATAAGAAAAAAAATAATAACTGAAGCAAAACCTCAGATTATACAGAAATGCTTTGAGTCTTGTGCAGAAACTCGCATGACTTAACTAGCAAATGAATCTAATTCTTTCATCTGCAGTAAACCTTCATTCAATTATTAAGCATATGGTGACAAATTTTATCATTGAAAAGTAATTTTTTTTTATTTCACTGTGATTTGAATAATAACTTCAATTCAAAGACAAAGTAAACTCTGGTTATAGGCACATAAAATACTGTTTGAAAACTTGTGATTAAAAAAAAGGTTTGACTGTAAGCAGAGCTCAATTTGATAGTTTTGCATATTTGGGTCTAAATCTTTTATCTTTGTCACCACTATTGTGACTTTAAGTGGAGTCGACTGTACTGACAAATAGAATTATATTACCCCCTCATCTTACCAAAATGGAGCAATGGAAGTTTGGCATGTGTGTTAAAAAAGTCTTACACATATACACAGATACCCAATGCAATTCCATTGCATGATTACAGGAATATAAAGGGGTGATACATACACAAATAATTTGAATATCTGACCACCAGAACTGAACTCAATGCTGTATTTCTTGTCCCATTCCTCTTCTACAACACTGGAATGAAAAATAAATCAATGGGATTATCTTGAGCTATGATTTGTAATTTAAAATTTATAGTCAATGAAGGATATGTCTGCTGTTTGACAATGGCCACTACCAGGCCTGGCCGTTTGTATTCTTATAGGTGAGCTGTGAATTGCTCCCCTCATTTGCTGAGGCGAGCTAAATCAGAAACACAATAATTTAAAGACAATCGACAGATGACTTAATAAGCCCCTTTAGCATCTGTCGGTTGCCTCAGTCAGGAGTATGCTGTTTTACTTCTTTCAATTTGTATTTGCTTCAACCGTGACTTAGGCACCCCCTTTACTCGAAGATGTTATATAAAACAGACTCTTTCAGTTTTATGTAAAGCTGGCACAACACAAAAACAACAATTCTCTTGCAAAACAATCTTTTTGTCGCACAGAATTTGAAAATGGCTTTGAAAAACAAATTTTGAAACAAATTAAAGTTTTACGTCTAGCACTCTTCGGAGAATAAAACGTCAGAACATAGATGGAAAACTCTACGCTAAAATACCCAGTTTTGGATCGAAATAGGCCAATCAGAAAACGCGAGCACATGACTGTTGAGGTTGTCCAATCAGTGCAGCTTTCCTATTGAAAATGTTACCACAGGAGTCCTAAGGTGAAAGTGAACTCACTTATGTCTACACAAAAGCGGTTGGTCATGTTTATATAGTAGATAGATTCACAAACTGCTAGATGGAACGATGATCAGGCTTTGCCAATAATGCAAAACATGTCGCTGTTATAGTTTTTCACCCAATCTGGGTTTTTCAGTAAATGCTGCTGGATGATGGAATTCCATGTTTTGATTGTCGTTTTTGATCTGCAAGACAGAAAACCTTGTTCTCTTTGAGGGATAGTTTTGCTTCTATTGCTGGAAGGGACCTGCTGTCTTATTATATCCCTAATCTACAATTCCTACCAATTTCTTCGACTTTCCTCCCAAAAATATTCCTGTTTTCTTAAGATTGAAAGGTTCTAATCGCTACAAACGCTCCTTTCGGTTAACTATCCTTTTTCAAATAGATCAAAGTTTATGCCTATCATAACAAAAACCGCCCAACAAGCAAACAGTTAATTGCAAAAAATGCAATGACGGGAGAAGTTGCTGTTACAAAACCCAATCAACCCTTGTACGTTTTCAGAGTTCTCTGAATAAGAAAAGGGCAAATGAATGGAAATTTCAGGGGAGCGATTCTCCCTTCATGTTCTATTTACGAGAGCAATTCAAAGCTCCCCTCAGGGCTATCGCTCGCCTCAAACGGCCAGGCCTGCACTACAGGACCAGATCGTGAATACAGGCAGTCTGCCTGATTTAAAATATAAAAATCATACAAAAGCGCTGATTTAAAATCATACAAAAATCTTCCACATAACCAAGAGTACAATAAACCATCTCAGAGTTCACATAGCAACGACTTGAGTGGGACAAAAGGACAAAAGCAACATAAATAAACAGGCAGTCTATATCACTGAGATTCGTATGTTTTCAGGTCACATGTTTTCAAATCTGGTGTTGGACATGGATGGACCATGGCAAGCAATAGCAGTGGTTTGGCAAAGATTTTGCCCTGTAGTAGAACGTGGTCACTTATACAAAACAAAACATAGGGTTAGGGATTGGGCATGGATAAGTGTCCAAGAAGTCGCCCAATGGTTTATAGTTGACTTTTCGCAAGGCTTGCTTTTGAGAATTTTTTACAAGGATCCTCTCCCTAATAAATAAAAGTTCTTTTCAGGTTTACTATTTTTCGACTGAAATTAACTGGTGTCAACAACGAAATAAAGCACTGGGTTAACCAGGTTGGAAAACCAGTATTGTCTTGTATAATAAAAGAATTAAATATGATACAAGTAAATTTAATAAATATTTAAATTTTAGGCCATAACCTTTTGTTACGCAAAGTATTTATAACGCAGTCTCTTACTTTTGGTTGAAATTACGAAGACTCTCAACTTGCTTTATCCTCTGTTGCTGTAATGGGGTTGGTCCTGGAATTCTTGAGGAATCTCCGACGGGCCCAGGTGCCCTACCAAAAAGCGATCCCCAGCTCATATTTCTTCATGGAACACTGTTTTGGCAAAATCCCCCTCGCTAGCCTCTTTCGTGTTTTGCCTCCTTCTCAGCTTCGCAAGTGACGTTCACACGTTTACATGTTCAAACAGAACGATAGAGCAGGCGGACTGACATACATACATTTCTACTTCTATATCGATACTGAGCAGGACCGAGTATCGGTATAATGCTCAGAGAGCAAGAAACGATAGATTAATAGATAAAAAGTGCTAGAAGAAGCCACTGATTAATGATTAGATTGAACATTTGCATGTCAAATGAGAAGCTGTAATTTTGTTTGTCGTCAAGACCTATTAAAAAAGAGACTGAAAATTAAAGGGAACATCGAGGGGGCATTGTGGTAATGGATTGGTCAGTGGCATCTATCAATCAATGCAGGTGCAAATTAATGATAGAAGTTACATGGTACAATTGAATAATTACTGTATCGTAAAAAAATGCTATTTTTGATAATGCAGGACAGTAAGAGGCAGCACCTGCGGATATGGGCCAGCTTAGCTACATACTTACAATCACGATTAATATAGACGTTATATAGTTAAAGTAAATATAGATAAAAACAGATGTTTTAAAAATAGATGTAATCATTGTTTTTTCGGTTGATGGTTGACGAATGTCCAACAAATGTACTATTTAAACTTTTATAGATTTTAAAAAGTTTGCATTTAAAAGCAGAATAAGATGAGGTAGCCTTAACGTTCATTGGACGTACATTCCATATTAATGCTGCTCTGCGTTCAAAACTAGATCTTGTTATTTCTTTTTTTGGTCTTGACATTTGAGGTTGTTCTGTGTCTCTCATGCTTCTTGATGATGTTTTTCTTTGTATTAATTCATTCAGAATGTTAGGGCCTCTGTTATGATAGATCTGATGTGTTAAGCATGCAACACGCCTTTTGCATATATACCCAATCGATGTCCTGTTTAAATGATCTAGGACTTTGTCTTCAGGAGTGTTCTTTGGTAATTTATGAATAAAATTCTGCGGCTCTTTTGTGCATTTTTTCTAAAGCCTCAAAAGAGGCATCCACATGTTGAGGCCGGAAAAATTCCTTGGAAATATATGACCATGAATCAGAATAGGTTTTCACTAAGCACCCGTACCGAATAGCCCCCCCCCCTTTAATGAGAAAAATTATATAAAAGATTTCAGCACGATCAAAATGCAATTTGAATGTTGTACCGATTTGTGCCACTGAAACATGAGGTCCACCTGGAACTTGTGCACGAAAAAACATTCTCTTCACACCGAAAAGTACTACTATAAAGTAAAATGCAATGATAGAACGTCCAGCTTCATTTGGTTTTGTTTCAAACTCTTTCTATCTTCGGGAGGTCAGAATTACTATACTTATAAGAAACCCTTATAACTTAAAAATAGAATAGCTAGCTTGGCGATTTTGTATCATCATGTTCACCAGTACTCCAAAGGTTTATACCAGTACTAATACGAAAACTTTGAACTGACAACTTTATCCAGATTATACATTAATTTCAGAGCTACTTTAAAATTCAATGTGCCCTATCAATGCTGGAATCGATGACACGTAAAATTTGTCGCACTGCCCTTCATTTGACATTCAGAGGCGAGACATTTCGCTAGATTTCATACATTAGTACAACCATTTTCACTAACAAAGTTCTTATCTTACTGCTTGGTGACAACCACTTACCACATAATACCAACAGGAAAAATTGCATAAACTATGGGGGCTTGAGAGCTCGACCATCCCCCCTCCCAATTCGCGCTCTTGTGTGACCATCGGGTACACATCATTAGGCAAATATAGCAAAAGCAGAATACATTTGTTTTCTCTGTTTTATCAAACTCGTGTTTTCTCTTTTTTGTAACTGACCACAGAGTAGACAGTTTTTGCTTGCTGCACTACCGTTTTAGTAATTTGTATGTAGTGCAGGTAATAAATGTTTTACTGAAACTAAAATATATATAAACTCATACTAAAATATAAAAAAGGTAATCTGAACATTCCTCCCATTTGCCGAAATTTGGCAGCCTAGAAGGAATACTATAGACCAAAAAACAAACTACAAAAATCAAAAGATCATGAAAAAGATAACACGGGGTGAAAAGGCTTATCTTATTAATCAACAATTTTACTTATGACAATTCTAAGGTAAAATAAAAAGTGTTCATCGAATATCTAGACAGACTTCACTTTCCCATTTACTGCAAATCGAAGAAAACCTTAGCAAGTGGGAATTACAAGAGTTTACATGATAAGAAAACAATATTGAAAACTCCCACTGACAGAAATAAAAAGGTATAATTTGGGGTGGGCTAAAGGATAAGTTCGTTTTCAAAGACATCTCTGGCGGTTTTGCGATGAACCGAAATTTTAGAATTCTTTTAGTAAGGTAGCAAAAAGTAAATAAAGAAGTTTTTCCATTGAACTTTATGGTGTATGTAAAACTGATCTTAAAAAATCGAGTTGAGGGTTAAAAATTCGGGGGAGGTAGGGAAGGGGTATATAGCAGTGACAGGGCAAAATGTAGCCAATTCTTAGTTTCTATTCAACTATAACATCACTATACATCAACGGCTTAGTCAAAGAAACATAATTTATTAACTATTCATAACATATTTGAGTGACACTATATCTTTAATATCTTGTTATTATGATAAACGAACACTAAGCTTATCTAAATAGCCAACCATCAAACACAAAAGCAGGGTAGAGTCTCAAATCTTTGAATCTCAAAGCAATTTTGGTTAAATGTCTATGAAAAGAAGGAAACATCTGTAAAAACCTTTTGCAATTTTTTGATTAGTCTTTATTTACAAAGGAGACCAAGCCGGATCCGTAACAAAATATCATTGTAAACACTGCAACTAAAAATACAGATAATGCAAGTGAAACATGTTGCAAGATGCAGAGGCCAAAACATGTTATACTGAGACTGAATATAAGGCAAATATACTTCTTGTATATTTGATGGATGGCAAACGTTTCCAATCACAACAAAAAAGCATTAACTAATTGACATATTTAATCATATATTATTGCTAGTGTAAACTGTCGAAAAACTACGCATTTTTATACTAAATGGCAGATGGTAATGGAGATGATGCTCATGACGTCGATTGATCATGATAATGATGATTATAATCATAATGATGACGTCACAGCTGACAACAGATTATCCATATGAGAACACTGGTTATGTTAAATTCGGAATCTCTTCAGTCAGAGAAGTGTAGTGCTAGAAATTCGGGAAAGCAGTTGATTATTACTACTTGGCAAGTACAAAACCGATAGGCTATATACAGCTTATAGCAAACGGCCATATTTATGATAAAAGTATCTAAAACTGCGATTATTAGATATAGCAGGAAGAACAAGACTTGAAATAACTACCAGCATATCGAAGAAAAAAGCAGGGCTACCTCGACACTCGACAATCCTAACCAACTTTAACGTAGAGTGAAATGGTAGGTTTCATTTCAATAAACAGAAAGAAAACTAGTCTTGAGTCCTATTTTTTTCTAGTAAAGATTCTGTAATAATATTTAGGTAAAAAGAAGACAAATGGGTTTATTCTTGTCAAAAGGAGAATGGTAAACTTCCAAATAAGAACAGATCTTTAGCGAGCCTTAACGTCATACTCACTATCAATCATAATACTTCGTATAATCGTCTTTTTCTTCAATAAAAATAAAAATTTGGAAAAGTTTGAGGTAAGTTGTTGGGCATCAGTTGTTTTCGTTTGTTGCAGACAACTATTAATGTCCAGTAGTGACCTGTCTTTCGCTATTATGGAATACCTGATGACTAAAGACTGAGTATTTAATATTGTTGTTTGAAATGGCTGAGTTTTTGTCTACAGCTGGTTAAAAACAGCCAATTATGAAATTCATTACGTCACAACAAGCAGCACACCTCAGCAACGGTTCTAGCAATGTCTGTGATTATCAGCGACTCATGACTCCAATGGCTCTATAAAAAATATCGCAACATTTATCATTTGATACGTACACAGACAACAAACACAATAGTTTCAGCAAAGAATAGAGTTCTAAAGTGTGACGTCACCAAAAGCCTATTTTTAGAATTTTTGAATTTTAACCACATAACATAAAAGATCAGCATAAAATAATTCCAGATATGCAAAATTAGTCAAATATGTCTAAAATTGGTTGAGATATTGCCAATGAAAGATTTGAAGTTTCCTAACGAATCACTGTTACTTTCGCTTTGTTCATAAAGTTATGAACAGAGACCAAAATACAGAGGTTTGATGGGGAAAGAGCCAATACACATGTGGCCATATCTCAGCCGACTCGAAACACATTTGACTGATTTTGCATATTTAGAGGTATTTTATGATGCTCTTTCAGGCTATGGGAGCCAAATTCAAAAATTCTAAAAATTGATTTTTGTGACGTCATCACTTTAGAACTCTATTAGCATCAAAAATGTATTTTCCTCAAAGCATTAGGAGCGTTTAAAGGCAGTCTGTCCCCTTCGTGATGCTCAGGGAAATTACGCTATTGTGGTTCTTCATTCTGATTGTTTTTTTGTGCATTGAATCAGCGATGCATGAATATCGTGGCCATAAAAAGAGATTCTGAGAACAATGGGGGACATACTGCCTTTATTAACAATAAATTTGTAAAGAATAAAAATCCCACATTGATATCGCACCCCAGAAATACAAAAAGTGTTTGCGTGTTTGAACGAAATTTTATTTAAAGTATGGTATCATATCCCTACCTTCTCTAGATACCATATATGCATTTTAAATTACGATTCTCTGAATTACAGCAGTTACATTAAGCGTGAAACTCGGAGTTGCAGCTTAGAACCATCCGTAGCAAAGCGTATCGAGCACAATTTCACAGAAAGGTTAAACAGTAATTCTCATTGTATTTTACATAAGCTATCATTTTACATAAGAATTCAGTATACTCCAATTGACACGACAATTAGGAAGTTCAATTGAATTATGGGAATACCTGTGCCATTTTCTTCTATGTGTTCCTCTTCAACTACAACTGTCTAAAAGACACAAGCATGAATGATTAACACGTTGAGGTAATCAATGTACCTAACACGCATCCGCGGGAAGGCTGTCAAAATATTGTGGTCAACTCATATATCTCCTTTGACGCTAAATACAAGCAATCTCTGCCAAAGAACTTGAACTACAAACGTCAATTTTCAACGTAATCACTTTCACTTGAAGTTGCAATACAAAAACAAAACTTTTGCCTTTAGGAAGCAAATTTTGCAAAACAAAAAAATGTTGTACCCCAAGACTCTGTGCTTAGCCCGTTATCTACAGATGGCTTTAGTTTTTGTTTCTACAGCTTTCTTCAAGGAAGGCCATGAACCTGTGTCAACTTCTCTGTTGGCACGACCAGTATGAAAATTTGCAAAATTTTCTTGCTGATAATATTGCATTTCATCCTTTCGTAGCCGCAAGGAATAGAAAGTTGGATACTTATTACGGGAAAATAGGAATTGTTCGTGTAGTTTTCGGTTACGGAAACCGTGTCACTGCATTCCTTGCTAGAGACAAACAATTTTAACCTAACAGTTGCTCATAAAACAATCAAACTCAAAGGGAGAGCACAATGCAAGACCAAATCATAATCAACAACAATATGAACTTACCTCCTCATTTAGGTCCACTGTAATAATTTCAGTCTTGGTTATGGTTTTTGTAGTAACTGTGGTTGTTGTTTCCATTCTTGATGTGATTTCTTCGAAAGACTCAGAGTCTGTGGTTTCAACCCTTTGGATGACTTGTTTCTCAACGGTCTCAACTTCTTGGCCGCTCTGTCCCTCTGGCTCTCCACGTGGTGCTTGGGACAACGAATCCTCGGTCTGCGATGGTGGATCCTCAGATGGTTTGACATCTGACGTCACGTCCGATTCTTCCAGTTCGTTTTCATTAGATTCAATGACTTCGAAATCTTCACAAGAATCATCTACATCTACTGTGCGTCTTTCGCCGGGCACTGGCGTCGGCGGCGAAATCGTGATTTTCACGGCTAGGCAATTATTGGTGGCTTTTGGCTTGTCAGCATTACCTTTTTCCTTTACAGAATCCTCCGTAGGAACAATTACAACATCACGAGATCTAGGCAAAGGAGAGCAAAGATGAACACAAGAAGAAGCAAACAACTAACACAATGGTCAGATAAACATAGCATTGTTGAATAATGCTATTTTGGTATTTTGATGAAGAAAGATCTAAGAAGAAACACGAGTTTCAGTCTGAACTCAAAGATAGGGACAGAGATGCATTAGTCTAGACTAATCATATGAAACTCCATCATTACTGTTGTTACAGTGCACTGACTTTTGACCAGTGACGCCTTTGGAACAGATTTGACCTGCAACCCAGTTCCCCAGAAAACATCTAGATATAGCATCAAACATGATTTTCAAGCCTATATTTTAAGGTTTAGAAACTTCGATACTGTTTGAATGCACCAGAATGGGTTGGCAGCTTTGTAGACCAGACAGAAAAGATTGGAAAGCCTGAGATGCAAAAATCACGAACATTGCCATTTCTTGCACTAAATGCGTGAGCAAAATACTGATTGTCGATATGTAGCGGTAACTACAAAACGGTTCCTTCAAAGCTCGAAAATGTACTTGGGTTTCTTTCAGAGCAATAAAATAAAGAAAATATGCAGAAATGTGGCGTTTTCAAAACTTAGTGAGAGCAGGCTAAAACTGGAAAGGTAAGTTACAGAACCGCAAAGCTAATGGTAACAGGAAGATAACGGAAGACGGGCTAAGAAGCAATGTGGATTTTGACACTGCTGTAGTAGAAAAGGGATTTAGACTTAAGGACATTAATGACCCAACATGATGATGATTCCAGACAGATCCCAAAACCAGATTCTAGGACTGGCTCGGAATGATGTTTTAGATTATTGCGAACATTGACACAATAAACAATCGTCAAAAAGTGAGCCTTCATTAAAAGTCCTAAAAAAGTCATATCTGTGTTCCTGAACACCTTGATTTATTAAGATCATTAAACAGAATTTGAAAATTGCTAAACATGAGCAAAGAAACATACATGGAAGGGCTGCCGTCATCTTCACAACTGTTAACTTCTGTAAGAGAAACAAAAATAAAAACGTTAGCCACGTAACACTGATGATAAACTTATTTAATTGCATATTTCATACAGATCTGTAGTGGAAAGCCTTGCAGTCCCCCAGCGCTAATAAATTTAAAAAAATTGGGGAGGCAAAACATATTTTGGAAGTTAATCTGTAAAAGGTTATGTGCAAAAATCAAAGAATGAAGGAGACTTTGCAAGGAAAAAGGTTTATACCAAACAAAGTAAAAATTCGTTTATGTTAATTTCCATATTTAGAGGAAAAAGCGATTTAAGAATTGTAGTTGTGACAATTGTGGTACCTTTAGACACGCCTACTGCTTCTAGAAGTATGATAGCTTCTGAGAGAACTAGAAATTTTTCTGTTCAAGCAAGTGACATTAAATCTAACAGAAACATTGTTAAAATAACACTTGAATTAAAGTCAATGAAATACCGTAAAATAACTAAAATATAGTATTTTGCTTCTTTCTTGTACAATGTCCGGTGCTGCAAGGAAAATTTCCTAACCCGGTGTACAACATATACTTAATATGTTTATATAACAATATTTGTCAGGCGTGTTTGCTTTTAATCCCGGGCAAGACGACTTAACATTTCGCTCAACATTTCACTCAACTTTTTTTTAGTGAAGTTGAGCAAAGTTTAGCCAGGATGACAAAATATTACTAAAATTTTCATTAAAATTCACTAAACTTTTTAGAACCTGGGAGCTATGTAGGACGCTGTGGGAGTGTAGGGGATCTTGTCTAGGAATTTGCTTTCTGTTTGTTTTATTGTATGCTAGCATGTAATAACGATGGAAGTCTTAAATCTTGAATTGTTTTTTCCAAGTCTTCAAGTACAAGACGTGGACAGGAATCAGAATCGCATGAAGCGACGGGAAAATAAATAAGTACACTGAAAACAAATTTGAGTGTTGAAGAAGACATAGCGTACAATGAGATGATGCAGATGACACAAGAAGGCGTTTTAGACATTTTGGATCACATAGAGACAGGAAAACTGACGAAAACCGCCGTAAATTGTCGACGAACACAATTTTGTATGTCTTGTGGCTTTTACAGCAGAAAATCAATCTAGAAATGAAAAACTCTCTATACTGATAGAGTTATCCTTGGGCACTATTAAGTATTCGCGATTTTGAGAAGCAACAATTCCAAAATCTTAATTATAAACATGAATTTGCCAAAAAATTGGCGTGGTTAATGCGACTTTTGTGTTTTTCCCAACACAGCACTTATATTTTTAATTGTAAATGTTAGTGCTACACCCACAACATTAATTAATTCCATGCTTTGCAAATTTTCTAAAATAGGTTTAAAGCCGCCAATCAGTTCCATTCACTTTCTAGGTCATCTTTAATATTTTTTCAAACATTTCTTGTCAAGAAATACGTGCATAAAGTACTGAGAATCATTTGTTAATCTCTTGTCCCCAAAGAATAGATATCATTGCAGAAAATTAGTTACTTCTAAAATTACCATTAATTTGATGCTTGGTGCCTGCTCCACTTCCAGTGTCCTTGACCTTATTCTCTGAATCTTTTTTGCGACTTTCTGTAAAATTGATGGTAAATTATCTTGCTTAAAATACTCACGATAAAGAGTTATTTTTCAAGAATTCGTTTGAAGTTCACCCTAACAAAAAGTTAACTAAAAAACAGCGAGAAATTACATTTACCAACAAAGCTAAATGTAATAATCAATAACGAATATCATTTGAATAAAAAATTGCTAAAATTGCAAAGAACAGCTTATACAAAAATCGGCCAAAAACTCGCTATAAAGCCTAAATCTTAAAAAATGTGCTTTCAAGCAAAGCATACATTTCATAATACAATATTATTTGGCTAACTAGCATTCTCTGCTTTCTCACATGTTTGAGGAGTTCTTCCTATTTGTACACGAAACAGTTTAAAGCCACTGCGTGTGATCATGAAATTTAACCGTACAAAAAACTAATTATTAAGAGAGAATCAACTGGTCGATTGTCCAACATCGTCCAAACTAGAATTGAAACTATACGTGACTGATATAAATACCGATTACAAAGGAAAATATGATAACATCACATCAAACTCCAATTGCAACCATTTTTAATACGTGTTTGTCAATGTTGCTCGTAGTATCACTAAAAATATTCCAAGACCTTAAAAGCCGCCTGTGGATTTCATGGGTAATAGAGTTAGGAATTCTTTTTCGTTGTTCCTTCAACCTCTTTTGTAATTTCTGATATAACCTCTCTGCTGCAATCTGGAAAATCGCTGGGACCTAATAGTATTCCTATGAAAATTTCAAAGCTTTTCTCTCCATTGCTATCATCTCCTCTTTCTCAAATCATAAATGAATCATTTCAGTCTGGGACATTCCCAGATAAGATGGAGCTAGCTAAGGTTATACCCCTTTTTAAGAAAGGTTGTACTCTTACAGCATCTAACTACCGATCCATTTCTCTCTGTCTTCAGTAAAATCACTGAAAAAGTCATTTATGTACGTCTCTATAGTTTCTTACAAAAGTATGAAATCTTGTATACCAAACAATTTTGTTTTCGTGCTAGCCATTCCATTAACCATGCCCTGGTTAGTTTAACGGAAACTATCAAGAACTCACTGGATAATAGAAAATATGGTTGTGGAATTTTTATTGATTTACAAAAAGCATTTGACACGTGACTCATGACATTCTTTTGATGAAACTTGAGCATTATGGAATCAGAGGAACTGGCTGGAATTGGTTTAAATCCTGTATCTTATAAAATTAGCAGTAAAATAAACTAATTACCTGCCGCTTCATGTTTTGAACGGGGCTGGGCACTTGACAACCTCTGGCTTGAAACTCTTTGGAATGTTTGGAGAGGTCTTGTGTGGGTAGTTGTTTTCAATTGCTGAAGTGTTTTCTTTCCACTAAGCAAATGAATACTCGAACAATAATCGCAACAATAATAATCATAATCATAACAGTGAAAAGCTTGTGTACTGACTGTTGGTGTTACTTACAATTAGACGCTATAAGAGTACGCCGGTGATTAAACTATAAAGCTCTTATCTTACTTTGGTACTTCGGTTAAAAAAGTACGTAAGGCTCTTATCTTACTTCGGTAAACACGCTCAAGAGCAGTTGTTCCATAGGAGTGGCTCAAGCGTGGTTTTAAAGACGTAATCAGCCTAAGTGCAGTGTCCAGTAGCTTTAAAAACATCCTTGCTAATGCAAAATGAATTCAAAAAGATTCTGCAAAAATTAGAGGCTGAGTCATCAAAGCTTCCCTCAAATTTTGCTCTTCTTAGGATCCTGCTAACTGTCATATTTTTGTTAACTTTGAATTAGAGAAATAACTTGGTTCTAAACTTATAAGTAGAAATAACTTATACTTTATTGCTAAAGATATTGATAATTCTAAGATTTGCAAAAAGATAAATGATTGCAAACAGCACTTACCTATATCTAAACCTTGACCCAAGTCTGAAAAATGACACCTTTTGCTCACCAAGTATCAATGCATCTCTCCTTTGGAAGAAAAAATTAGTACTTCTTTTCAGTCCCGAATTCAAAAAAATATTTCCCGGACGAGGAAATGGATTTTTCAATACCAGATACAACCAAGTTATGGACACCGCTAAACAAACACAGATGGTTGTCCTGTAAAATTTCTCCCGATGATCATCGCCTTAAACAAGTAACCTCAAAGAGGCGGGCAATATCTGGGATCTGTCTTTTTGCTGTCCACCAGAAACATCCCTACCAATGACAATAACTGGGCTCCACCCATTTGGTGTCCGTCAAACACATTCCTATGACAGATGATAACTGGGGCTGTCTCTTTGGGGGCTGTCTCTTTGGGGGCTGTTCCTTTAGGGCCGTCCCTTTGGGGGCCGCCCTTTGGGAGCCGTTTCTTTGGTGCCCGTGAGACACTTCCCTATGATGGACGATATCTGGGCTCCATCCATTTGGTGTCCACGAGCGAGTTACTTAACTAGGGTCCATCCGTGAGATACTTCCTTACAATGGGCAATAACTGGGGTCAATTCCTTGGCTGTCCTCCAGCAATTTTCTATTATGGACAACGACTGGGGGCGCTAAACAAAGAAGGAGAAGAGAAGAGAAAGAGTGGATAAATTAAAAAATAGCTATGAAGCTGTAGAGGCTGCCACACCTTAGATTAAACCCCAACAAGAGTTGCAAAAGATAACAGAATTGCTGGTGACCATAAAATAGGTCTGATTCTCTTTTACATATATTATAAAATTAGAGAACCAAATAAAGAAAGCATCGCAAATACACTTTTTGCCCTTATAAATATAGACCCTAGAATCTTAAACAATGTTCCCGGATCAAATACAGGCTGTTTAGAGGGAGCAACTGTAGAAAAGGGTTTATGTCTTATCTAAATATATTTTGTGCAAATTACCTTTGGTTTACCTGTAAAGTTTCATGATGGTATATATTGTATTAAGGGCTTTGTTTATTACGCAGCCAGAAAAATCGTTCTTATAGACAAGACACATAATTGAAAAAGGTAAGGCGGTAGGTGCTTCAGAAGATTCTTCCTTTGGGAATTTACTACATTCTTTTTTGATGTAAAAATTTCTGTAAATGTCTGCATGTTACCTTTAACTGATTTTAGATAGGCCATGCAAAATGCGTTAAGTTGTAAACTAGTATCAAAATCCTTTCAAAAGCCTTTCGAAAATACCCGCCCTGATTTTCGGCGACAGGACGCTACGCTTTGTCCTTGTTTTGAATCAATAAATCCCCCTGAAAAAAACATTTATAACGCAGCTCACATGTGCATGCATTTTCATTTTTCTTTCATATACGTAGTGGCAGTCTGGCAGATAGGATCACGTTTAATCAGACATGATGACTCTATTGAGACTTAATCTTTTTTTAAAAACATTTCGCAGCCAGGCCTCAATCTTTTTCAAAACCTCTCCTGGACCAGCATCATTCTTCCAGACTATGAAACTTCTCCAAGGGAATAATCTGAGTTGTTGGTCTGACAGTCTCTTTTCTGCACATTGAGCTAATCACAAAGAGCGATGATTGACTGACAAACCTTAAGAAAGCTTGCTCGTTGAATGGCCTACCTGAAGAAAGTGTGATGATCAACTGCTGATCGATACAATCTTTTTAGTTCAGTTCTTGACCTACAGCGAAAGCCGATTGTCAGGTCTTCGTATTCAACCTAAAACGAAATATACAATCATTGCCAAAAGTCTTGGAACACCAAGGACAATTTTCAAAGGTAAATTCAGCCAACCCCCTCCTCTTCCCTAGCAGTGGCGGACACCTGGGGGGCGAGGGGGCGACCACCCCCCAAAACTTTAGAGGACAATGTTATTTTAGTCCAAAACAATGGGAAATGTGACGTTATTTTATTAAAACAATAGGCTTGACCCCCCCCCCAATATTTGACCAAGTGTCCGCCCCTGTCCCCTAGGAACAATGCTGATTTATTATCGAAAAATAAAAAGGGGTTATGGAGTACGCTTTTTCTTGTGGCGTGTATGATATTTTTGAAACTGTCAAGATTGTTTTTGGGGGAAAGGGGGACAGAATTAGTAGTATTCGGGAAAACAAATGAAAAATAGAAAAGCACAGCGCAAACGGTTGTGGGTTCCAAGCAATTTGGTAGTGATTTCATATAGTTGATTTGCAAAACGAAAGAAGAAGAGAGTTGATAAGCAATGTTGCATCATTGATATTTTTATCAACCATCGCCGAGGCTTTGAAAATCTAACTAGCATTGATTGCAAACAATTATAAAATTTAATTGGCAATGGAGTATAACTTTTGCATAGCTTATAGATACACTGACTTATTCACTTTGGGGAATGGGTTACAGGTCGGAGTTAGGTCATTACAAAGACATTCCTAAAAGAATATACCATAAATACACCATTCCAAAGGATAAAGTGTTGGTAATAAGTCTGGGAAGCCTCGTTTCGCTCAAATTGTCTAGCTAAAAATAGCTGATTCTTCAACAGTTTTGAAATACAAAATATAACATTTGCTATTGCTTTGAAACTACAAATTCAATAAAAAATATTAAAATAAAAGTAGGAGTTCAATTAAAAATGTGGTTGTTGAGTACCTCTGTCACAACTCTGACGTCCAGATAGAACCTTTTTGATTTAAAGTATACTTTGTGAATATTCGACCTAAAACAAGAATCAGCCGTGTATCAAGCCTCGGTTCCATTACAGAGCGGCATTTATCGTTGCTGGAACTTGATCACCTCATGTCCCATTGAGATAACGGTTAAGAAATATTTGTGTTTTCAAAAGTGAGAAGTTCCTTTAATTTCATAAGTGAACGGGACCGTTTGTTTAAGAATGGTGAAGGTCATAAAAAAGAAACGATAAAAGCTAATGGAATTTTATAATTGTGAACTGTAAGCATATACATGGAAAAAGGGAACTGTAGGAAGCAATTTGCCTTTTGCGTATAGGTACGCAGTAAGGAGTATAACATAAACGAATACTTTATACGTTTCTCCAGGGGTACGATATTATTCATATTGCAAAACATATTCTAGCAACAACACACCATGAAAATTTGCTCATTTCACGTCCTTTAAGAATTACATGTATGCCGTTTCCCGATACACCAATGACAATGTTTGTTCCATCGCCATCCTCGAAGAAAAATATTATAGATAAAAAGGTGTAGTATAAAAAGACGCCATAAAGCTACTACGTGCTTACATTTCAATAACCCCGATTTCTAAACTCATAGCGCAAAGAGTACAGAAAACATGGAAAATAATGACTAGAACTCTCAACTCTTTCTCGCTGAAAATGAACAAATAGAAAATGAGACAAACAACAATGGATCCTGGATTGCTTGCTGCTCTATTGTTAGCTAATTAAGGATCGTATAAAAGCTTCTAAAAAGTTCTAACGATCGCTGAAATAGAACTGTTTATTATGCGTCACGTAGAGTTTTGCTTTAGCAGTCAACAAGTTGCTAGCTTCTCGAATAACAACAAGTTATGGACCCAGGCCATTACCTTATAAATTATTGCGTTAAAAAGTATAGCACGATCGCTATTTGGCATCAACGACAGAGACACAAAAATAGAAAACAGCTACTGGAAGTAGTCAGGAAGAACCTCATCAAGGGGGTTGCTATCTAAATAAATGACACACTGAACTTTTGTATAGATTGTGCAGAAAGTAAGATAGGCAGAAAACCTTCAAGTCAAAAGAGTTCCTTCAAGTCAAAACAGTTCAGTCAAGTCCTCCAGAAAATTACAGATAGTTCACAGTGACGTATGTGGGCCAATGTCTATACATAGCTTCTCGTTATTCCGTCACATTAATTGATGACTACTCTAGATGCGTCAAAGACATTAGAAAGAAGTCCGAGCTACTAAAAAGAATTTGAAGCCTCTGCAATAAATGAAGCTGGATGTAAAATGGAACTTCTGTTCATCATTCTCCACAATAGAATGGAATGGCTGATCGCATGAACCGGACTCTCTCGAATCCTCAAAAGCGATGATAAACCATGCTGGATTTAGTAAGACCTTCTGGGCAGAAGCAGTCAACACTGCAGCCTACATAAGGAATCATGATATAACCAGCACAGCAGGTCAAACACCGTATGAAAGATGGTATGGAAAACCCCCTGATATCTCCCACTTTCGTGTGTTCGGTTACATAGCCTATGCTCATATTCGAGAGGCTGAGTGGAGTATATTGGACAAGAAAGCCAACAGACTTTTTGATTGCAGAACAAGAAAGTAGTGATTAAAAAAGACGTTAACATGTTGATTTTGGATCTCAAAAGCAGTATTTGAAGATGGGTCCAGAAACAGCAAAGGAATACAGACGGCAAACAGAGTCTTCAGGAAAAGAAACAGATGCAGAAAAAAAACCATCCTCGACGATCTCAAATATCCACAAAAGGGGTATCACCAGCTCATTTTGGCATGGATGAGTATGCTGATGTCACAGAAGCAAGAAACGTTGTAAAATATGATAAGAACGGCCTCTATTTCATGCCAAAGTCTCGTTTTCAATCAAAATAGAGGCAGTTGCTTTTTAAGGGTCCACCCTTGCCTTTATAACATCGATTTTTGGAATCAGCACCCCAAAATTATCCATACCCACCCAATTGGAATTACTTCTCCGAGGGGGGACCCTACCCCCATTCTCGGCCTAGTCTAATTTTCTTTCTGGACGCAAGCAGTCACCACGTTGCTGGAATCGAGCATTTAGAGACGCACTGGAAACACTAAATTTCAGACAAGGTCAAGCAGATCCATTGATCTTTTTTGAAAGGATCTCTTAAAAGAAACAATCTGACAATAATTGATGTTTATGTAGATGATTTAATCATAATAGCTAATACTCAAAAAGAAATGGAACAAATAAAAGCAAACCTCAGAAGAAAATTTCAAGATGACAGATATGGGCAGTCTCCATTTCCAGCTTGGAGTCAGCGAAGAAGGAGTCAGTCTTTCTCAGAAGCAGTATATTGAAAAACTTCTGAAGCCTTTCGACTTCAAGATGCTTATCCAGTCTTACACCCCTTGATCCAAACAGTAATCTGTTGATAACGTCCATTATCAGTCTATGGTAGGGAGTTTATTTTTGCTGTCATCGCAACAAGGCCCGATATCGCGCAAGCAGTGGGAGCGCTTTTTCAATTCAATTCAGCCCCAACAACTCAGCACTCTTCAATCGCCGAGGCAGAGTACATTGCTTAGCAACTGCTTTGAGAAATAAGAGATAACTTGCAAGCCATAACCATCATGGAAGACAACCAAGGAGCAATCTCGATGACAAAAAAACCCAGTCGGACATAAACGGACGAAACATAGCAATATTCGGTATCATTTTGTTCGAGAACAAGTAGAAAAAAGTACTCTGCTACTAAAGCATTGCTCAGTTGCTTGACTAGGAGTGTTGGGAACATGAACTCAACAGCTTCGTAATTGCTGATTATGTAGGTAAGCTAATTACATTCGTAATTAGCAGCGCAGTTTATGACGCAAATCGAGATTAGATTGCTTGCTACTCTATTGTCAGCTAAGTAGGAATGGTAGACAAGCTTCTAGATAGTTCTAATGATCGCTGAAATAGAACTGCTTATTATGTGCCACGTAGAGTTCATAGTTTTTTTCACGCGGTCAACAAGTTGCTAGGTTCTCGAGTAACAACAAATTTTAATAAGATAATTACTGGGTTCAAATTTGGACTGACGATAGACAGTTTCCTTGTAGTAAAAGCTGGTTTCTTCCTTAAGTGAAAACACACGTGCACAATCAAATTATCAAAAGAGCTGAATGTATTACTCATTTCTCCTGTTCTGATATGAATGTGAATGCGGCAGACAATTCGCGCACGCGGTTATAAATCGACGTGAAACAGCTTGAAATTAGTTTGAAAATAACACTCACTAAAGCTTCATGCAAATCCATCCCATATAAGGGAATCTTGCGAGCGTTATCTAAATACTGGAACTCAGCATCTGCAGGTGTCAAATTCCTATGGCAAATAAGTGATCAAAATAAAAGTAGCGTTATGGAAATGTTTGTTCCCTGTACCATAATTATATAGAAGATTGCTAAGAACGTGTCCCGTAAACTATTATTGTTACAAAGAGACAGCCCTTTTACCAAGCATCACAATCAGAATATACTGTTTAGATTAGTAAACTGTAAAATACTGTAGACTACTGTAAAAGCTTATGACCCTCCTATTCCTATTTGCACTTTAGTAAAAGCGAAAAAATCTGAATCTTGAAAAAGTAATTACTATTTTGAAATCATTGACTATATAGATTTTAATCATGAAGGGCACATACAGCAAATTAATTGATAAATTTTTATCCTTACTTGCGATTTTTATGGAATTCGTGAACCTTTTCAGTAAAACTGTCATCCTGAAAAAGATGAATTAAAAATTCTTATGATTTCTGCATCTGTTTTTCTGCTACCATTTGCCTCAATGAATTGTCTCAGGGTTGTTTTTATATCCTATCATACAGTTTGTGATAGCTGTTTTTACGTATTCCAGAGATGGGGCAAAAATGTTGCTGAGATTACATTGGAGTTCAAGGCTTTTCTAACAACAAAGTGTCGTTTCAAACTTCAGTGAAAGGTGGGAAAAACATTGGCCGAGAGGAAAATTCAATTAGGAAATATGTTCAGTGAGTGTTCATTCAATGATTTCAAAAAAGCTTGAAGTGTTTTTTTATTTCTATGTATTTCAGGATTTGGGAGGTGTTTTTTTGACTGTCAAATTATAAATTTAAAACCTTTAACAGATAGCATCAGTAGCACAAGGAGCAAGTAGGTGTCTACTTCACTAAATTTAATTGCAAATTAAGACTAGTAGCCAGGCAACACATGTCATGCCGTAAAACTGAATGTTATCAGACAAGATGATCAGTATGACCCACTCTGATACATCAATGCAGCGTGTACATCAACAATAGGAAAATTATTCAAACTGCGAAACACGAGAATTAGGACCACGTTCAATGAGATTGAAAGCTATACGAAATTTGAGTGCACATCTGCCAAATAACATGCTAGAAACAAAGAATACAAGGAATTGTGAACCAAGGTCAAAAGAATCGAAGAGGATATTTGATAAAACAGAAAACATAAAGTTTAGACAGAAAAAGAAGACGAGTAATGAAACAAACTTGCAAAAACACATAATTTTGATTAAAATGAACTAAAAAGACATCAACAAGCATTAAAAATTTTTTCACAGTCTCATTCGAGTTCACGTCAATTCTTCGTGGCATAAGATGTTTCCGTTGGATGTGGAAATCACACCCTGTTTATTCCATTATAAGCAATCATTGCATAAACCACCCTAGATTATTGGCCGAAGCAAAGGGGGTTCATACAAAAAACGTGAGCCACCCTTGGTTTTAAGCCACACCCACAAAACCAGCCAGCGATAGCAGACACAAAACCTAAAATAACCTGATTGTGCACTTAGTCCTTAACACCTTGCAAATTTTTATTGAAAGCTCAAGTATAAAAATAGACATTAGGAGCTAAACTAATAGCAATATCGTCCAGCATGGGACCATCAACACCGTCAAGACGTCATTCTTCTTTATCTTCTGCATTTTCACACTCACCTTCAAGCTAGCATGAAGCTTGGCATGAAGCATGAAGCAACCCTTGTTTCTAAGCTGCCCTTGATTTTAAACTGCACCAAGGCGTGCTACAAACCAATTTTAAGCTTCGGCTTATAATGAAAAAGTACGGTTTCTGACTTTTCTGAACATGACGACGACATGAAATATCTCCACTTGGGAACATAGCTCGGCCTTATCATTTGTCTTCAACTTCATGAAACTTTGACGTGAAAGCAGCGTATTTCCACTTTCTCTCTGAAATTATACGACCTTTGTGAGGGAGCATTCCCTAAGCCTTTTTTGTAGAAGCCTCTTTTGGGGTTTCTTGGTTTCTCCAATGATATAGAAGCGCCGAAGGCGCTAGATATCTAACTTTCTGTTATCAGCTGAGGCAAAATCACTCAAGCGGAAATTTAGGCAAAAAGACGATTCCGCATAAGGGCTCAGTATGGAAAATTGCAAGGCGGACGAAGGAAAGCCAATTTTTTTTCAAAATTGGCATAAATTTGAAAGTACAGCTATACTTTATCAGCTTGCCATATTCATTTCAAAGGTTTTAAGCCTTTGCAAATTTTTCGCGAATAAGCCCGAAAAAATATTGTTGACAACGTAAACATTGCCTAGGCCAGTGCTTTAGCGAACGCCGCAGCAAGAATAATTTTTTAAAAATAGCTATCAAAACCCCATAAACCAAAACAATTTATGGCTTAAAACCTTCGAAATGAATATGGCAAGCTGATAAAGTATAGCTGTACTTTCAAATTTATGCCAATTTTGAAAAAAAATTGGCTTTCCTTCGTCCGCCTTGCAATTTTCCGTACTCAGCCCTTATGCGTGATCGTCTTTTTGCCTGTATTTCCGCTTGAGTGATTTTGCATCACCAGGACAATGGGCAATTATGCCCAGTCAGGCATCTGGCGCCTTCGGCGCTTCTATATCATTGTTTCACTCTCGGCGTTACACCGCTGTCGTGGGGTTGCTTAGGTCCGTTTTTGCTGAAATGTTTTAGCGGTTTTCTGAATCAGACAATTGATTATTAGAATCTGAGAACAACTAATGTCATGAAGAATAACTGTTAATGTTAAACAGACGAAAAAGCTTTAGGAATGTTGTAAAATGTTTGCTCTTTTTAAAGCCAAGTTCAAATTTTGTACCGCTAAAGATTTTTCGGTTTTTTTCATTCTATAGGGAAGACAAAGAGATTGTGGCTTGATAAAAAGGGATTATTAGAGAGAGTAGCTTTATTAACAGTTAATATCAAGACTGAACTATTTAATTGTGCTATGGTATCGGATGTGACAAAGTTGTTATAAACGGGTAGACTACTTTAAACTAGATTCGTTTTTAAAATGTTTTTTGTTGCTTGATGTATTATAAACAGTTTTCGTTGCAAAATTCCAATTATTCATCAAGGCTTAAAAGTTGCCCCTTTCCAAAATAAACCAAACCCAAAAAAATCGATTTGGTGACACAACTACGTCATAGTGTTGGCTCTTTTTGGCCGTGATTTTCTTGCATGTGCGAAAATTATTGTGCATCAGAAAGGCCCTGAGTAACTTCCGAAAACAACCTCTGCACCTTGACTTATGGAATACACTTGTTAAGACTACAATATGACAACTACTTAAACGCACTTCCATTATAGGAACTCTTTCTTACCTGATTAGGCATGAATTGCAAACCATCGATGTAATTTTTTGGATGTTCGGCTGGGTCATAATCTCCCTTTTCAGCTAGAATGAGCAAATTTCCTTGAGTTGAAGAATGATTGATAAATATTGTTACCGGGAGAGTGAAGTGTTGGGATGGGAGTGCTGAGAGAGGAAGGAGGGGTGTGTTGGGAGGGGAAGGAGGGGAGTGATGGGAGGGGGTGGTGGGAGGGAAATGAGTGCTAAGAGGGGAGTGCTAAGAGGAGAGTGTTGGGAGGGGAGTGTTAGGAACAGAGTGTTGGGAGGGGAGAGTTAGGAAGAGAGTGTTGGAAGGAGAGAGTTGGGAGGAGAGTGTTGGGAGGAGAGTGTTGGGAGGAGAGTGTTGGGAGGGGAGTGTTAGGAAGAGAGTGTTGGGAGGAGAGTGTTGGGAGGAGAGTGTTGGGAGGTGAGTGTTGGGAGAAGAGGGTTGGGAGGGGAGTGTTAGGAAGAGAGTGTTGGGAGAGGAGTGTTGGGAAGAGAGTGTTGGGAGGAGAGTGTTGGAGGAAGGGAAGTGTTGGGAGGTGAGTGTTGGGAGGAGAGTGTTGGGAGGAGAATGTTGGAAGGAGAGTGTTGGGAGGAGAGTGTTGGGAGGAAGGAAAGTGTTGGTAGGGGAGTGTTGGGAGGTGAGTGTTGGGAGGAGAGTGTTGGAAGGAGAGTGTTTGGAGGAGAGTGTTGGGAGGAGAGTGTTGGGAGGGGAGTGTTAGGAAGAGAGTGTTGGGAGGAGAGTGTTGGGAGAGGAGTGTTGGGAAGAGAGTGTTGGAAGGAGAGTGTTGGAAGGAGAGTGTTGGGAGGAGAGTGTTGGGAGGAGAGTGTTGGGAGTAGAGTGTTGGAAGGGGAGTGTTAGGAATAGAATGTTGGGAGGAGAGTGTTGGGAGAGGAGGGTTGGGAAGAGAGTGTTGGGAGGAGAGTGTTGGGAGGGGAGTGTTGGTAGGGGAGGGAGGACAGGTGAGTGAGAAAAGGGAGTAGGGTGAAGGAATGAGTTGAAGGGGTTAATGGGAGGGGAGTGATTGGGCGGCGAGTGAGGAGAGGATAGTGCTAGGAAGGGAGTGAGAGGAGGGGAGGAGAGAGTTGGGAGGGAGTATTGGGAGGAGAGTGTTGGGAGAGAGGTGCGAGGAGGAGAGTTAGAAAAAGAAAGGAAAGAAGTAGATTTAAGAAAGCGTTAGGAAAGGGATAGGCCTAAAGGGAAATAAGCGGAATATAAGAAAAGAGGCAGTAGAGGAAGAGAAAAAACGAAAGATACGACAGATAAACAAGATTCAAACTATTCTAAAGTACATGCTTGCACTTTGGTAAAAAACAGTGTATAAATCGAGAGCAACAGGACATTTCAAAGCTGCTTACCTTGAATCAAAAAGGAAGCTAAAAGAGCATGAATTGGAACAGAGCATATCAACCTAAAAGAACAAAAACTAAGTATGAGACCGAAAGTTATTAAAATGGAACATCGAACATTTTCATAATAAACAGCAATACTTAGGTATGAGATTTAAAATATAATTGGAACAATGCAAAAAAACTAAAGTCATTTACTACGTATGAGAATCAAAGTAAAATGGAACACGCGCATTTTCATAATGAACAAAAATATTTGAACATCATATCTGCTTATATAAACAGCAAATTTGTTGTTCCATACTTTTCTATAAGACGCATACAACAGGAATAAAAGTACTACCTCTTTTTGAGTAAATCATCACGAACTTGCAAAACAATTTGATACCTAAAATAGGAATGACATTTCTGGTAGTTCTCCGGAAACGGGAGCGCAAAGTGGACCAAATCTGTACTGGACAGTGAAACACGAAGCAATGCTATGAACAGGGTCTAAGTGTCTGTTCACATGAAATGGGCTAGCCCACTTAAGTCAGCTAGTTAACTGAAGTGGGATCCATGCTTTCTTTACATCACTTTAATCTCTGTAATTGCGCTTATATAGAGAGTGGGCCAGCCAGCTCAGGTGAGATCCGCGAGAAGGATAGGTAGAATCCGCGTCAGGTGGGATGGAAATTATCCATGTAAACGCAATCAGGCGGGCTACCCAATCAATGAAAGTAAATGCGCCTGCGTAGAGGAAGTTGGCGCCGAACTGGACCGAATCATAATGTCGTATGAATTGCACGAATCTAAACCAAATCTTAAAGTTTCCTTGATTGAAATGACACTAACATGCCGAATGGAAAATTGCGGTTCCAGGTCAACCAATAGCAACGCAGTCATGAAAATCATGACTCGGCGTTTATCATGACTCAATGCCTTTAAATGATGCATTTGATAGCCAAGAATTTATTTTGTTTGACGGCCGAGAAAATTGTGCAGACACACTTTTTGTGCACTTTTGAAAACGGATGTTCAATTCTGACATGCATTGCCATATGAAACAGGTATTGATTGCAAACATAACCAACACAGCGGTAATTCAAGACATTCATCATAAGAATTGAACATTATCAGATAAGAATTTCATTATCAGGTATGTTAGGGGATCAATCGTTCAGCGAGGGGGTGATTTCTAAAGACCCGCTTATGTAATTAAACTAAAACTGCAATTGATGAACGTAAGTTCTACAAAACCAGTTGCATCATATATGATATGATGAAATAATTATTCAGGTTTTGAGATCCAAATTCATTGTTTTTTGGAATAGATTTCTATGAAGCCCAGAAATAAGAACTCTGAAAGCAGACAAGTGCTGACATTCAAACCAAGCCTATTCGCTAATAAACTATCATTTAAATAATGTTCTTTTACTTACCGTGTTAAGTCTTCATTAACTGCAGCTGGATTCGGGGGGTAAAATTTCACGTGAAATGCCAGATGGTAGGGCCCTGTAAAATTATTTTGAGGTATAAAAATATTTAAGACATTTTTTCTTAGGAAGTTAAAATAGTAATTGCGAAGAACTCCCAAGTGTTGAGGCTTCTTCTACATCGATACAAAGACATTTGTAGTACAGGCAAATATGTGCAACTCGAAATCTGTAGGGGATAGTACTTACAGAGATTGTAATTAAAAAGGTTTGATTTCAAGGGACCTTGGAATTTTGATCGAATTAGGAAAAGTTCAAATAACACTACACTCTTTCTTGTATAAGAACAATTTTATAAGAACACGAGCCTCAAAAGTAGTCAAAAGTTAAGAACAAGCTGAGGCTGAGCTACTGTAAAATGCAATTTTGAACAAAGTTTTTTCTCAAAATCGAGGATTTTTAGCGATGTGTGGGTACTTTTTCGGTGAAGATTCAAATTTGTCAGCAAATTAAGGCTGTCTCACTCACTTTGTTGGCAAATGAGGCCTGTACATTACCCTAGAGTTAAAAAGCTAGCACTCGCACTGCTTACACCCTATTAGATCAAGAACAAATTAAGAACAATCCAGCCTCAGATTTTCGAAAAATTAAGAACAGTCAGCCTGAACTTAAACTTACTGGTTCTTATAAAAAAAAAAGAGAGTGTAGTTCAAATAAGACAGAGTTGACTGTGTATTCACATCTTCATTGAGAGCAACGAACTTTTTGCAGGACAAACATGGATAACAGCGATTTCGTTCATAGCATTGAGGCCTGATCTTGTCTTAATTCGTATAAATAGCACTCTTTACCTTCCTGAGTTACTTGTTGAATTTGAGAGCAACTAAAAAGGCCTACTGCAAGGAACAAAATGGCAGGTCTCTTTTCCACTCTCTGTCAAAGCTCGCATGCTCGCATGTGTCGATGGAAGACCTTAGCATTCTTGCTTCTTTCTATAATTTACTTTTCAATATGCTCAAAAACCTAGATATTGATTAAACTCTTCAAGGCCGACTTGTATCGACAGTTTTGAACATAGCAATATGCTGTACTCGTTATGTATTCTGTTAAAGAAACGACTGATCCCGATTTAATAGACTTCTGTTGTGTTCTCATTGTCTTATTCAACCCAAACCTCAATTTACGTTTGATTTTGCTATATGTTGTTCGAAAGAAAAGCCCCCAAAAGTACACTGCCTAATAGAATATAAAACTTGAAATGTATTTCTTTGATGAAACAAACCAAAAAGTCATTATATTATGTAGGAAATTCAGTAGCGTAGCCAGGGTGGTAAAATTGGGGGAAGGGCAAAGGGGAGTTAAGCCAGGGAAAGGTGGGGGTTATACATCCTAACCTTTGAACGCCAGAAAAAGCCCTTTTCAAAAGGATTTTTGGCCAATTGGGGGGAGGCATCCGTCCCCTCTTGCCTCCCCCCGCTACATCACTGAGGAAATTTTGTCAGCGATGAGGAAGCTAAGGAAAAGAGCGCGTGATCATAGTGGTTGCGCTTCTCGATACCAATGTTTCCGAAGCAGAAGTAAAGAATGAAAGATGAAAGGTAAAAAAGAAAGAGTTTGGGCTTGAGAACAAAGAGAAGCTTGGAGTAATAACAGCTATTAAGCAAAAAAAGGAACCGGAAGAATACGTCGCAGAAGAAAATGAGAAGCAGGAGAAGTAAAAAAACAAGATAAAAATAAAAGACGAGGAGAAGACAAGGTGCAAAAAGCAAACTGATTTTACGTACCATTACCCATTTGCTTCCCGACAGTCTTTGCATGATCAAGCCAGCTCAACTGAATAAAAATTAAAAAAATGATAGACACTTTCATGATAGACAAATTGATAGACATAAAAAATGATAGACAATTTTTTTACAATATTATGCAATGCACAGAAATAATGCCATACGTAACAAAGATCAGCTTGAAATAGATATACCTGTCGGTCTTTAGGGCAAACAAATTTAAGTCCAAAAAAGTCTGTCTCTTCAAGACCAACATGCTGACAAACCAGTTCAAAGATATCTCTTCCAAGAGTGCTTTTCTAAAAGAAATGAAAAGTTATCATTGGGAAAAGTTCACAAAATAAACCTGAGAATGAGGAATTTGATACTTTCCTACCGATATAAAGTTTAGCTCGCGGAGCATGGTTTTTAGATGGCATCTTTCGCAAACTAATTGATAGAGTTTATTAAAGACAGAGATTTCTAAATGGCTTTGAAAAAAGCAAACATTTTACAACATACTAAAAGCTTTTTCGTCTGACACTCCTCAGAGCATAAAACGTCAGAATAGGTTCCGAAAAAACACGATGGAAAAATATAAGACATTAATACAGAGATTTCTGAAAGACAGATATCTGCCGTCTGCGGTTGTCAAAGACAGATATTTCTGTTTTTTAAAGACAGTCTTTGAGATTGACACTTGCTCGTTTTCTTTAGAAATTCGACACGGCAGAAATTCGATGTTTATATTGGGCCTTAATTTTCGTGGACAAAATCGGTTCCGATCTATGTTCGGATGTTTTAAACTCTGAAGAGTGTCAGACGAAAAGCTTTAGTTTACTCGAATGTTTGCTTTTTTCAAAGCCTTTTTCAAGTTTTGTACCACCAAAACATCATTTACTTGTGTTGACAGAGGCGTGCTTGATACATTTAAAGCATATAAACCTTTAGGCTTCTTCGGAAAGTAATCGAAAGGCGACATTTTTCAAACATATTCAAACATGTGGTGCTAGTGTTGATTAAGGATGAGGCCATGAATCCGAATCATATGAAAATCGTCATGGAAAACAAAAACCAGAAATGATATACATCGATGCCTGAAACATATTTTTCCAGCATATCTATTTGTGCCATATTATATTGTCTACGCGTATAAGAAAAAGGAAGAGTATCATCCGATGCAAATACTTGGGTTACTTTATTTTCTAAGAATTTAAAACTTTCAGACGAAACAAATTCGAATTAACTTAGATTCTGGACAGATGAAGTTTTTTTAAAGAAAGTTTGATCGTCCAAAAAAAGATTTGGTTTTAGTATAATGTACACTGCTTGTGGTCAACAACAGCCATTGAAACGCCATACAAAATAGAGCACTGCAGAATAGCTGAGGGTGGTAAAATCCAGCAGGAGATAAGAAAAAAATTATTTGCATAAAGCACTAAATGCAAATAACCATCGTATTTTTAATCTGAACACCGTTTGTTTCATCGAAATTTTTGCCAAAAATAGTTTTGAGATACGCTTATTTGTTATGCCTATAAGATTAAGTTTTGTTGATGTCGTTTTCTTGCTCGTTATTGATTCTGTGGTACTTACAGTCAATATGTACTTACAGATAAAGAAGCACCAGATTAGCTGAAATAAATTGCCTTTGACAGCTTTCAATCTACAAGCAGCATATTTGTCTAATGTTCTAGTGACATCAGTCATTAGAGGTTCTGCATTTTGTTTGTTTGTGCCAATGAAATTGATTTGAAAAATAGACATGAATTCATTCCTGGCAGTCATAATCATAAAGATACCCACAAGTTTAATTCAATTTTCCTTATATTTCCCAGAGGAGAGGAACTTTATCAAGTCATAAAGTTACAACTTTAGTTCTGCAAAACTAAGGGAGAAGATCTACAAAAAACCTGTCTTACTAAGGCATTATTTGACAAAAAACAAGCAACATATGAGAGAGCAGCCCAGATATCAAACCAAAAAGTCACTACCATGGATGGCAAAATCCCAGATCATTATCAAGAATCTGGGATTTCGATTGTTGTCAAGAAGATTTCAAAAAACGAGAATTGATTGTTGTCAAGAAGACATAAAAAAGGTCAGCAGATTGTGGTACCAGGTTTGTAAAGTCTTTTGCACAGGTCAAACATAAACAAAGACAGAAGATGATAGTCCCTTTTTTGGAATAAGGAAAGTATTCTACAATTGTTGGCTGCTACTACAATCTTCTTTTTTTGAGCAAAAATGAGCATGCCACATTTCTTTCTGCTACATCTTTTATTCCATTCTTAAGGGCTGGGCACCCATCTGGTTAACAAAAGTTTATGCCATATGATTGGTATAAAGAGATTCCCTCAAGTCTTCATGGCTAAAGAACTAGGCACGTGCCATACATGGTTAAGGACTACCAAACCTTTGGGTAATTTTCTATTGCTGGGGGCAGGAGATTGCAAAAAGGCTTTCCTTACCACAAACTACAAAACATTAGCAGAAAAGCCACAATCCACAGGAACAAAGGAAAATAGCCATGGCAACAAACTATTGTTAAAATTATATCTCAACAAGAACAGGTATTTCATTCATCAGCACCAGCTTGATTAAGGTCTCACTTTCATTAACAGGACAGACAGGGAGTTGAATACCAATATTCAACAATCGTATACTGTAATGATTCCTAGCTGTAACTATATTACCATAAAAGCCACAAAAAAGTTGAACATCCTACATTAAAGATACATAAATGGAATAAGAGAACAAAGTCTGCAATACAAAGGCACTTTGAGCCTTCATAGACTCTTTGGAAGCCCAAACACTATATGCCTCCTTTGATTAGCTTTATTCAGCTCCTCACAGCAGCCTATATTCTGTTGCATATGGTGAAAGAGTGCAATTTTTTAGATTGCAATAAAACAAAAAAAATACAAATCTGTAAGTCAAAATGTTTATTGCAGTCCAAATTGACATAATGATAATTCTTTATAAGCCAATGCTAGTATCAGATACTCTACGGAAAATATATTATTCATTTTTGATAAAATCTTGGGCATATGTAACAATTTATGACAATTTATAAGCATTTATTGACTTAACTGTAATTTCAGAATTTACAGACAGATCTGTGGAATATGGGATAGAAAAAAACAGATTTAGACAAAATATGTTATTTTAAAAGTCATAATAAAATAAAGATAAAGCTATGGATAGGCCTTGGTATGGATTAGTATGGCTTGGAATAAACAGTTATGCTCAGTCCCTTTCCAGTTCTCTTAAGGTATTAGCTTGCATAAGATAAGTATATATATAAACCTTTTTACTTGTAAAATACCTGGAAGGATGGAATTTCAATAGAAAAATTTATGGATTTTGTGTAGACAATAGGCAATTTAAAATTAATTTGTTGATTCTCGTCAGTACTTTATTAGAAAGTCCAGCAGGCAGAATTTTACATTTTGAGTTTTTTAAATGATCCTAAAATATTTTAGCATCATATTTGAGCCTAAAATTCTTCATTCAATTTTACAATAAAGCTTTGAAAAACAAAAATGTGTAGTGCACCAAATGTGCACAAAATGTCTTTCCACCACTTTTGTGAGGATAGTGTTTCTTCCAAGTTATTTTGATAACCACATTATATCTGAACAGCATTGTATAACAATTTGTTTCCTTGAAACTTTTAGCAGCAATTATTGTTCCAACCTTTGGTAAAAGTTTTCGTCATAAAATACAAATTGAAACTCAATTGTCATTTTTGTTTATGCTACTCTGAGCCTCCTTTTTGTCACCTCCTTGACAAGTGAATATTGCCATAGGTGTTGGTGTCTAAAGCAAATATTGAACTACAAAAGAGTAGGCCTTTGATTTTCTTAAAAGTACTTAAAATAACCTTGCTACTAACTTTTTGCTATTCTGCAAACCTAAGCTGGTCAAGAATTTTATAGAAGAAGGAAAAATTTGAAACAAAATTGAGTTGGCACCAAAATAAGATACAGGCCTTCATGGGAATCCTGTCTGCACCTGAGACTGGTTTGCATTCCATCTGGAGTGAGCATGAAACTTTACAAAAAAACTCACAAGTTGTATTTTGGTATGTTTTAGGGGGTTTTAACTGCAGTTACACCAGGTTGGTGGGTGGTTAGGAGAGCAATCTTTTTGGATTAGTTTTAACTAGAATCTGTTGCAAGATAAAATCCCAGAATACATCACAGGTTGGGAAACATGTTGAATTTCACATTGCCTTAGTTCAATTTTATTGGTCAGCTGATTAACAGCAACGTTTTTAGACATAAGGAAAAGCAATTTGGTGCTTATAAGCTGCTGGCGTGGCGTACCTCGCATATGATGGATTAATATCAGTTACCATATTTACTTGTCATACGCCTTTCACTTTATTTCTTATTTAATGTGTGGAATCTATCATTAACATTGCACTGATCAGACTTTTTTCTCAAAACAAATTGACTTAATAATTAAAATCGACTAAATGTGATCTTTGGTCAAAACATGCATAACAACGTTAGCGAGGGACCTACTGAAGAACTCTTAAATTACCGTGACTTCTGTTTGAAATTCATCCCCATCTAGAAGTCTCACAACCGCAGTAAACTTTCTCTCGTTGAATATTCTTTTCATCATCTTGATGGCAGAGACTTTGGGTCTGTTCTTGACGTTCTGGATTTATTCTGTCACTTTTCCATAACTTCGGCCTAGTCGCTTGGAGAGGAGGCTGGGGCTAGTTGTCAATTTACTGGAAGATCGATTTGCTGGATGATTCAAAGACATCTCTCTCATGTGTGTTCTTGTCTGTAGAAAGTAATGGCGGCAAAATGTTTTCGCAGATCGGCATGTGAACGTTGAGGTTTGTTTGATGTAGATATTTCACAGTCAGATGCTGCAAGAAACTTTTAAAGCACGGTAATTGGCAACTGATCTAAATCTGCTCGAGAAAAAGAAAAAGATAAAGCTTTCTGCAAAAGGGCCTAACATTGGATGGGTATCATCACACGAAATTGATAGATTCGCATGCTGTTTTCAACATTTTCATATTACAATGTCTGTGGCAGATAGTGTAGCAAACTCTTTTTGCCAAGTGAACTTGTGCATACCATTTCCAACAGAAAGGTATGCCGGAATTGCTTTTAATTCTTTGAGGGTCGACAAAGAACCAAAACGAGGTGGCAGCAAGAAAGAGCTGAAAGTTGATGGTACAAAACTTTATGTCTCCTTGAAATCTAATAAAGCCAAAGACCTCAGAGTAGCAATTAATTCATTCCTTGATTTACTTACACTTGTAACTCAGACAATGGAAGAATTTGATTTTGCCCAACAACAACAAGATGCAGTTTTGAAGTAGCATTTTAATAGCTTTCAGGGAAGGTTCAGCAGTTGAACTTTGTATGTGGATCACTGTGAATTCTTTGCAATTTTGATAATTCGTACTAGAATTTTTATCAAATGAAAATGAACAATTCCTTCATTTTCATAATTCTGAATGTGTGTCTTTGATTAAGCATTAATTAGGCTATGGCTAAACAACTAGACATTTTCACTGAACATTAACTGGACAAATGTCCAGCATAGATGTTGCATCATTTTGCCACATTGTCCAGTCTACGTCAGCAATGTTGAGTGTTGTTCAGTCAATTTTGAAGGCAGTTTTGCAAGTAAACTGAACATTGTCCAGTCTGCGCACAGGCATTGCAAGTGATGTAGTGGATTGGATTTGCCAGGATTTTATTTCTCATATTCAAATCTACAGCAAGCTTAAACTGTAAGCAACATGGGAAGAAATGAAGAAATGAAACAAACATTAACATTCAAGTTGACGAAAAACAAGAGAAGATGAGTTTTCTTAAGAGGGTTGACGAGTCTTCTGAAGAGATTAGTTTTAATTCTGACTAATCCAAAGCTATGGCATAGAGCACAAATATGGAGACTATAATGAGCCTAGCAGGCCTAACCATTCTTGAATAATAGACATTCTTTAGCAGAGCAAAAGTTCACTGGACAATGTTCAGTTGTTTTGATGCCACCAAAATTTCTGGATGTCTGCAGACTGAACAAAATGAGCAATGTCCAGCATATGATGAGTGCAATTATCCAGTCATTTTGCCAGGGCTTTTATGCCTTCTATTTTAGCAATCATTATTTGCTTGCTAAAGCAATACTGAAGATATTTTATCTAATTATCTGAGCTAACATAGAGCAACAATTTTTTTATCCCCAGGCTGTTTTCAAACAAAGAATAAAAATAAGGAAAATTTCATACTTTTTTATCCCAAGTTCAGTATGTGATAGAAAGTCAATAGGATAAACAGCACCATGTTAAGCTATGTGCAGTGGCTCTTGACATTTTACTAAGCATTGCAAGCCTATTCAGCCTCAAGCATTAAAAAATGGCAACACACTACTTCAGTTAGAGCCCAAAACAGACTAACAAAAACCGAAAGCTCCAAAGGGATGTCAACCTCTAAGTCCACAACAGTGCGTTTTAACAATTTCAAACTAATGTTTTGTCACTCTCCACATAATTATTACACCATAATGTCCATTCTGCGTTAGAGCCATCTGTCTTGAAAAGTCATGCCACAGGTTCTTTAGGGCTTGTTGAGCAAGGCTCCTTCTTGTTTAATTAAGTAAAAAACAGTAAGAAATGAATGCTGAATGAATTTTGTCAACATTGTTCATGATGTTGTTCAGGGTATCAATTAGATTTTGATCAACAGCTGCTGAACAGTTGTGAAAAATGCTTGCTATAGCAGAGTTAAGCACTGTTCATTGAAATGAAATTAAATTAAATGATATTAAATGAAATAAAATGAAATCACCATTTGAATGAAATTTTTGAAATGCACACAGTTTCCAGACGAAATTATACATTTGACACTGTCAAATATCTTTTTGCTTTTAGTGTGATTTAATGTTCTGTTCTTTATTAAATATAATCAAGGTTTCTTTAAAATCAGCCAACAGGTCTACAAATATTTTTTAAAGAAATGAAGCATATGAAGCAGGCAAAGGAATGTCATTAGAATGATAAAATGCAATGCACCTCTTTTACATTTTTCCATCTCTTGCCATGCAATTTATTATCTTTTTGGCCCAATTAGTTTATTATACATTTGCCAGATAAATTTACAGCCTAACATGACCAAGGTACCTGCTGCTTGAGGTAAACTGGTTTAAGTATTTAGGCTATCATTATTAATTGATAATTCAGCTTCTGGTAACAAGAATGTCATTAAATTCAGCAATATCAGAATATATCACATATTGCAGGGTGCTTTGCTAACTTCTTGTTCTAGCAAGTCATTAGTTCCATTCTTAAAAAGAACAAGCATACTATTGTCATGTGAGCAGTTTCAACGGCTGTCTATGTTTTTCTGCGCAGGGACATGCCACAGCATAGGCTCGATTTTTGTCTTATAATTCATGTTCTTTGGTTAGTTGAGATCTCTTAAAATTCTTAGTTGGGTAACAAACTAACTTAAATTGTAATAGGCATATTTTGTGTTTCTGAGTGAATATGACAACACTTTTTCGTGTGGTACAGAACATATTCTCACACAAAAATATGCCCCATTCCCTTGGGTAAGGTTACTAGGGGGTTAGTAGAAAAATGAACAAAATCAACCAAGGGTGGAAGATGAATTTTAAGCATAAGTAATTTTTGCAAGGCCTCAACAGTCTTAATTTTATAAGAAAATACTCTATAATAATACACTTAGGCTCGATTTGCTCAAGAAATACATATTTCCAGTTATCTCTTATCTCGGCATATGAAAAGTTGAATTATTCAGTGGACTGCTTAGCTATTTGCATTTGTCTAATGGTTGAAATGCTTAAAACAACTTCAAGAACTACTGGTTTCAAAACTCGGTCAGGGAAAAGCCAGTCTCCTTATTCGAACATTGGATAATCATCAGTAATCAGTATCTGTGATGAACAATAAAACTCGCAATAGGACTCTGATAATTCCTATCTGAAGATTCTAAAGAAGCGAACTGGACGATTTTCAGTGCATGAAAAGTCTCCTTAGCAATGGTGTGTCAGTAAAACTTGCCGCTTACTTCGTTATAACTGAGTGCCAAATAAGTAAAGCTCCATACTTATTTAGCCTCTCTTGACACATTGTTGATTGTAGCCTGTTTTTACACACTTGAGCTTTAAAGAATGCACTAGTATTTAGTAATAACAATTGGCAAGCTTGCAATTTCCTGTACAAGTGTACAAATTTGGATAGGCAGATTGCGAAATAAATAACCATAAGTTTTACTCTCTCTATAAGACTTTTTCTGTCTATATCTTCCTTATTATACTGATCTGTTCCATTGAACCTTGCTTTTTTATGAACAACCAATTTTTTTCTACCGAACAGATACGAAATATCCGATAAATTGCTGAATGGTCGTTGTTTGGGGGGCACATGCCCCCCTGTGCCCCTCAGCCACGACGCTTTTAAAACCACATTTTCCTTTTATTTTTTGTAGATGTAATGTTCATAGTGCTATTGCCGTGTCCTGCATCAATCATTTTTCGTATTAACAGTAAGATGCAGCTGCTACTTTGGTAATGCTAGGAATTGTTTTGCTTTTTTATCAATCTATCAGGACGCACCAAAGTGATATGATTAAAGTAATAAGCATACCAATTCAATATACTTTACTAGAGGCTAAAATTACTTCAAAATATTCGATTTTTAGGCTACTATAACCATGCTACTTACAGTTTCCGTTGTAGCTTCTTCCAGCCTACTGCACCGTAGAGAAACCGAAGTTTACACTTACTAATAATGAATTTCAAAGAAAACCCTTGAACAGAAGACCGAGACGTGCAAATATTATTTCAAGTATAAGGCAATCAGAACTGACTTGTTTACCTTCTGTAAACGGGAAAACTGTTCCCTATTCTTTATATCTTTTTATCTACAGTTCCCATTTTTATTGTAAACAAGACTATTTTTCTGCCCTGACGATATAGCTACGGTAAATCGTGATGATTTGCCTGTGTCAGACGTTCCAACCCAAGAATACTGAAAATCGGGAGATTTTTAACAAATTCCTGCGAATTTTTAACAAATTTCTGCGAATTTTTAACAAATTCCTGCGAATTTTTAACAAATTCCTGCGAATTTTTAACGATTTCCTGCGAATTTTTAACAAATTCCTGTGAATTTTTAACAAATTCCTGTGAATTTTTAACAAATTCCTGTGAATTTTTAACAAATTCATGTGTATTCAAATCTGGTCCTTCTGCGAAAATGCATACCTAATTCGTATACTAATTTTGTAAAAAAATCCACAAAAGTTATTATTTGTTTTTCATTAACAAAATGATGGGTTGTGCTTTTTCTATCAAAATCGTCCTTTATTTAATGAAACAAGTAACTCATGAATAGCTGCCTCTAATTGGCTGAACTGCCAAAATGTAAAAGATTATCTGATTGGCTAAACAAAGTTTACCTTAGCTTACGGAATAAAGTCTGCTGATATCCCGCCCGCTCGTCCTCCTAACAACAAACATTTCACCAGCTTTAGTTTAAACGTCAGAAAGATATGGTTACGGTAGAGAAGATGACAACCTTCTTCATGTAAATTTTCTTTATTAGATTAGCATAACATGGTTTTCGAAATTGAATTTTACAACAAATTTCAAAAAATTGCCTGAAAACAGGCGGTTATATTTCAAATCAGGAGAACAGGAGATGAACTCCAATATTGGGAGATTCCCACCTTAATCGGGAGAGTTAGAACCTTTGCTGTGTTCTTTTTCGAAAGAGGTTTAGATGGTGACAGCACTTTGGCTTGATCAGCAATTGCTGTCATTCGAGATCGATGTGAAATAACTAGCAAGAATTGCGTCAGGATTTCTGAGAAAGGGAAGTTGTACTTTTGACAAATGAGGCCCTGTGCTGGTTAAATCATGAGGCAATTTGCTTTCACCCGGCCCTGACACGTAACTGATAATGGGGCATGACGCCCCCAAAGAGTTTGGAAAATCCAATAACAGTTGGAAAGCTTAACATTTAATTTGGATTTTTTCTCAAGACCAATTTTGTAAATGTTGTTTTTTTAGGAATTTTGAGATTCTAAATGTAAAAATTTGAAACATTTCAAAATTTTTCAGGGTGGAGCGGCGACCCTGTATCAACTGGATCTTAAATTGTAGCATTGGACCGTTTGATGGGAGTTCAGTTGAATTGAATTATTTTGAACAGGCAAGTTGAATTTACGGATAAGAAACTTGAACTTTACAATCAGTATCGAGCCTACCCTTTCGAAAAAATAGAAACCCTGTTTTGAATAGAAAAAACTAAAGTGGAATTTTTTTAAGAAACTACTAGTAGTTAATTCAATGAAAAATTAAGAATCATTAAACTATAGAAATTCTAAACGCTTCTTATAAAAAACGAGTCTATGCTACTTTCCCCTGTTGGTTTCAGACGTCTATGACTCCTTGTCATAAATTGCTATGATAAAACTGCCGAGAAGCCAGAAAACATTGCAGACACTGCAGCAGAAGTATTTGATCAAAGAAGAGTGTTTCATCTCATGAACCAGGCATATGCACTTGCTTTCAAATCATCCATTTTTATTGTAAAAACGAAAGGACATTTGGCCCCCTGAAAATTGCTTAAAATTTACTTCGATCAAGAACAAAGATGAAAGGCTCAACTACTTGCAATTTTTGCGATACTTGCGATAAGAGATATCGTGAAAGATATATTTTAGACAAGATTTATCTGCAGCAAATAGATTTAAAGTGGGAAAAGCAGAAAAAGAGAAAAATCGGTGTTAATTGACTCGAAAGAATATTGCTTTTCATCATAAAAAATACCTAATGTCGGTTATGCTTAGATGTTGCTTTACTTCTTACTATAAGTTTTATTGTCAGTGTTACGCTAATCGGAATTTAGATATCTCCTTTATCGTCTTTAGTGTTTTTATACTTAAGGCTAATTAGTATGCGTGAAATTTTTGTAATTTAAAGGAAACTAACAATCTGGAATAAGGGATGCTTTCAAATATTAATCTGGTAGGTATATTAGATTTACAGGTCGATTTACAGAGAAATTCCTCAAGCAAAGTTGGAACTTCCATCCTTCCCCGAAGCCCCAAAATTAGCCACCTGTCTTCGTCCCTGGCCAAATTAGCCACATGGTAACACAGACAATCTGGTACATGCTCAGAAGTTTAGGAGTTGATATTACATTATATTTTCCGACATTTGGAATTACTAAGGCTCAAAATCAAAATCATGCACTTTAATTGGTCGACAAAACAACTGGCAATTATTTCAAAGATGAAACAATTGTCAAGAAAAGGGGAGAATTCGACTTTTAATCACACTATCTTCAAGCATAGCTCCGCTTCCCATTCATTTACAAACAAGGTAGTCTATACTTGTCCATTACGTAAAATTAGACAAGCTTTCACTAATTCATTTTTCAAATATATTCTCGCCGCGAAAGAGGAAATTTAACCTTGCATGTGCTCATAAGTGCGTATGTTTAGCCTCGATTTTCCTCCCAGTATCTGGTTTTTTCAAATTTACTCAACATTTTGCTTAAATTCACTATTTTTATAAGAACCGGGTAATTTTTTAGAGGCTTGAGTGGTGTTGTTATTGGTCTTTATTCAACATTGCCTTTCTGTAACTGCATTATATAAATTGTTGGATTGTTGACTCGAGAGAACATTTTCAAAGCCATTTTCAACTAAATTTCATCTTCTGTGGCTGTTCTAACGTTGTGTTATTTTTTCGCAATAATCCTCAGTGTTCTTATAGTAGCACACCAAGAAAAGCATCAGGTTAGAAAGCGCAGTACTCAAGCAAGAACCCCCGTGTCAAATCAAACATAAAACAGGTGTGCGTTAGACTGCCAAAAACAAAGAAGAGTAGAAAAATAATTTGCTCTTTCGCAGGAACCTGCTATAGACTATCAATCAAATCAGATTAATGGATTGCTGCAACGTAAAAGCTTCGTTCTTTTTATGAGCACAAACGTGATAAGGTTCCTTTGATACAAAAACAGGGAAATGGCCATCTGTGGAATGCTAGAACAAAACAACTTCTTATCATCTGCATGAAAAGCCAATGCACCTTTCAAGTGAGGCAATGCAGTTCAAGATTTTTAAAACGTTCAATTCTTAAGTGAAATCATCATGTCATTTCCCCCTCAGGAATCAATTCTAGGATCGCTTCTACTTAATAGCATTATCTTTCATCATTACTTTTATAGCTAGAATGCGTTTAACCAAATATAATCAACCATTAATAAAAAGAAGTTCAATAAGAGTAGCCATTTTCGAACATGCAAATAAATTGGTATTCACCATCAAAAACTTTTACTGAAATTGTATGATAGGAAAAGAAAGACATGAACTTAAAATTTAGACAATCTAATTTAGACAATCTAGTTTATAGTATAATCTAATGTAAAACTTTCGAATAATCTCGCAACCTAATCTTTCTAGGCTTGAACCCTTTTGGCATTTTGAAGTTCCAATTATTCAAGTACCAAGAAAGGTGACTTTTCATTATTGTCAAAAATAAGTTTCAGCAACAAAGCAGGCGTTCAAGTTGAATCTAATTTCAAGGTTTGCATTGACTGTTCGGCGTCACAGTCTTTCTACAATTGTTGCCAAATGAATACTTTTGTAGAATTTTTCATTGTTTCATTGAACAGGTTTGTTATCATTCGCTGTAAATAGCAAACCCTGGACGAATTCAAAAAATTTCTACAAGAATACATATTCTTTACTTTTTCCTGCAGCCAGTGTGCCAGCAATCTTAATGTTCAAGTAAGACAGAAGAGGCCAATGATCCATTCATTTACACTTCTATGTTGCTATAACAAGCATTTCTGATATCCTCCTGAGTTAAGTTCCAACATCCTTTCAAGCCAGACTATGATCTTTGAAGAGATCCCGCCTTCACTGCATCTTGATTTGTCTGATCCTTTCATGTTTAATGACCCTTTTCCATATCAATATTTTCTTTTTTTCCCTCCCTAGCTTTTAGATTGGCATTTGCAACTTTGAATTTTGCTTAACCGGCTTTTTTTATTTTACGTGACATAAATTTATACTTGCATTCTCTTCTTTAAAGAGATCCATTTTCTCAAATATGCACTTTTTTATTGAACTATTGCCGAAGTTGCAGTTTATTCAAATGTTTTCCTCCCTCTTCCTGACAAGTTGTTGTTGTCTTTAACTTTCTTATAAGACTGTTTTAGTTGTTTTTTCACTTATCTGGATGTAGTTTCGCTCGTAGCCACTTTCTTTTTCTAGGCGCTGTGCCATCTTTTCGTAAACATGTTTTTCCTTGTACAGTTATCCAACTGTTCTTGAATCTTTTCGTCTCTCCAGATACTTATGAAGCTGAGAACTTCTTCGCGGCTCCATGTTAATCCACGATCTTTTTTGCAAGTTTCTATATCTTGCCTGGTGTTTGCATGTAACGTATTTTTATTTTTCGGCGCGCAAAATGAAAACATATTCAAATATGCGCATGCGTTAAAAAAACTAACCCAGGTTCGCCCCAGGTTTTGTGTCCACACTAGAAATTTAGAACACTAACACTAACCGACCTAGGTCGAACCCACCTCTGGAGATGGGTTAAACTAACCCAGGGCGAACCCAAGTTAGTTGTGTCCACACTGCAAAATCTAACCTGGGTTAGCTAAAACCTGGGGCGAACCTGGGTTAGTTTGTGTAGTGTGGACAGGGCTTATGCTTGGTAAAAATTCTGGCTCACGTTCCTTTTCTAGGCTAGTTTAGGTCTGATTTCGAAATCCAAAATTTTTGTGAAACCCAAACCATTTTTGAAAGCCAATTCACTTCCAAATCCAAAAACTCCAGATTTCTGAGCTTTGGATAACAAAATCTAAACAGCATGGTGCTTTTTTTGCTTCAAATTTGTCTAGATTCAATTTTTTGGGATTGTTAAACATTTTTGTACTGAACATTTGATATGTAAGTCGAAAATGAGACATTTTTATCGTTGGTAATTCTGCAATATTTAGAGTCATATTTTGGAATGAATCTGGAATATTGACGACAGGAATAGTCGTAGAGATGACGTTGATCCCTATTATTCTGGGCTTTTACTCTCTCCGTTTATTCGAACCAATGGGAAAGCGGGTTATATGAACGTTCGCATTAGGATTAAGGCTTGCTGCAAAAATTTACACGTCAGGGCGCTACACAGCATTTACACTTAACAATTCTATAACATAGCTGCATTATATAATCCAAAGTTTTATTCTTACTTTTCTCATGACATCCATTCTCTAAATTTTCCTCGTTCTTTGACTCGAGACTGGATTGTTCCATAAGAGCCACGAATATTCCTACCACAAAATAAATTAGGTGATGTGAAAATTATTTCATCCATTATAATTGTGCATTTGCATATGGTGAATAAATTTAAAAGCAATTGTTGGTTCGTCTCCCAAACAAGAAGAAGCATCTTCTTAAACTGCTGACAACAGTGTTACTATCATTCCTGCTGTTATTTGATTATTATACTGTAGCTAAACTTTGAAAAAAGATTGGTATTAAAAGGAAGGTTGATTCAATCAACTTGATTGTCCATTAGAACATAGTCAGCCTATTGTCCTGTAAATTGCAGTCAAACTGATGTTGCTTTCTTTCATTCTTTTAAGGTACCTTTGAATAAAACTAAAGCATTAGTAATGGAGCTGGCACATGTGAGCGGACTGTGACATGAAATAAACATAGTAACAAAATAAACTATTGACTAGAAAATTTTTAATTTACTACAATATCTGATTCGAAGGTTTCTCAAAAGACAATCGTTAACACTACAGGCACAATTTACAGGTTTTCGTAAAGGCCACTGGAAATGCACTTCTAAAGATAAGAAATGACTATGTTTATTCTCCTTCGAGCCGACATCAATTGAAAAAACTGCAGCGACTACAGAAGGCTGTGGGAAGCTTCGTACCTAAACGTTATGCCCATAAAAAATATATCTTGAAACTTGGTTGGCTACCAATTGCAGTAAGACGGGAATTCAACCTATTAAAACTGACCTTAAAGGCAATGCACAACACTAACTGGCCTACAATTAATAAACTCGAGCTGCTAACTTGTAACAGAGTACTGCAAAGTAGTAATGAAACTCGTATAAGGCCATCACTAATAGCAGATACTTTTAAAGATGATGCTGCAAAGTGCTTCAGTGCCTTACCTGGACCTATTAAATCCCTATAAAGTGTAGCTTTACGACGTTCTGTTCCAACTTAAAGAAGCATTTATTAGAAAAGCAAACAGCAAATTGGACTAAAAACATTATTTCTTTTTATAATTATGTAACTGCTCTTTAATTTTGAACTTGTAGCTTTTGAACTTTGCTTTTAATTTTAGAGTTGAAGTGCCACACTTGTAGTGGATATGCTCGATAGTACCATTATTATTAATTAATCTTTCACAAGGATTGATGTTCTTCAAAATACGCAGGCACCAATCCCTCATACTGCAATACATTAACTGCCTAAATCAGGAAGACAAATGCTTTCACAAGACATTTTATCCAAATAATAATGCAGAATAACGCCATAGATCTAAAATTTTATTTAAATATATAAATCTAGGCCCGTAAAAAAAACTGTTACACATCCTCTACTTGCCTGGATTCAAAATTAGTAATGGAATGCAAATAAATTTTGTCTCTATGTTATCTTCTCTTGGGTGTACCCCAAAGCTCCGTTCTCATTCCACTAATGTTGAGCTAAATACGGATGTATTCACAAATACTGCGAGAGACTTGTGGCAAGTCCACAAATACCTGTACTCTAAAATGTGGCCGAAATATGACAGCCGCGCTGCAAAACAATGCAAGTTTATTATAATGGAACCAATTACAAAGTGTTATTATATTCGGGAACTTTCGGAAAGTTTTATTGTATTCCAAAAGGACAAATCGATAAATCTTTATCTTAGACCTAGTTTTGACTAAACGCGGCCATTAATTAAAACATCAATTTTAAACGTTCTCCTTGTCATCGTCAGCGCATGCGCACAGAACATTATATTCATTAATTCTGCGTTTGTGCAATAATTAATTCCTTGCTTGCACAGCAATTTATTATACTCATATAAAGAAATTAATTCTTATTTTGCATGATAATTAATTGTCTCAATACCAAAAATTTGATCCTCAGAATGTATGGTAATCGATTGGAAAACTTTCATTAATTTTGTATCATTAAATAGCGATAGAAGCAAAGCGAAAAAATACTCAAGATGCATCAATAAAGTATCTTTCATTTTATTAACTCAATCTGCTTTTCAAATAAACGTGCCCCCGTACTAGGATAGCCAAAAATTTAAAAAACTTTAGTACTAGGCTCAAGAAAATATTAGAAACAGTAAAATTTTCTTTTTCTTCTAAAAAATTTAACTTTAACTGATTGAAAATTTTTGGATGCATACATTGATTGACAATGGAGGTCTGAATTGCTGAAATCAAGGTTTTGAGACGAAGATCGCTATCCAGATGTCCGTCTGGTCGAGTCTTAGGACTATTACAGTGGCTTACCAGCATGGTTTGATCTCAAATTCATGCAATTTCATGGCTTAATTTGATTTTTCCATTTTTGTTGAGAAAAATATGTTGACATAGTTTTTTAGCGTTTGGCCTAAGTATCTAATTTAAGTTTATCAGAGAAATGAAATAATTGTGAAAAAGGATCGCACATACTCCCTCTGGCCGAATTTATTCAATTTCTCATTCTGCTATTTCAACGCAGCAAAATTAAACAAGAGTCGGATTGCGACCTGCTAGCTTAATCAATTTCGGGTTACTGAATAAATATAAATGGGTCTTTGAAAGACATTTTGTCAACATCGAACGCAGAAAATGGCGGATATATAAATCGGACTAACACAACATTTTTGTCATATTTGAAAATTCTCCAGTCATTTTGCCTAGTCATTGCGTCGCTTCGTGGAAAGCAAGTGACAATTATAACTGGCCGAAAAGGTTGATATTGCAAAGGACAAACGACCTACAGCGAGCTGTCTCAATAATGACCAGGTGAGCAGCCATAACAAGTAACTGCTTTACCATCTCATTTGCCTTTATCAATATATGTTAGTCATGTCAAAGGCTTGATTATATTATTTCGTTTCCAACGTAGCAAAAGAAATTTTACAGGCATGTCGATATATAGAGATGCGCAGTGTGCATTCATGAACTTTATGTTAAATCTTTGTTTATAAACTTATTAATCTTTGTATAGAGGAAAAGCGCATGATTTCTCCCTTCGTTCTAATATGTCCTGAAAATTCATAGGTTTTAACCGCTAAACAAACGGTCCGCAGTCGTTGTTGGATTGGTTTATTTAACAATTATGGGGTCACATCACTTTTAGATGCAGCTAATAACAAAATTCTGCAGATGATCAGCTATAAATTAGGCAAAACGAAACTCAAGGAGCTCAGAATCCTTTATGTTAATGACACATTTAACGCGTTTTTCAGAGGAAAAGACAAGAAAAATCTTCAAGTAATATGATTTATGACACGTGACTTACATGACGTTATGTCCAGATTTTGAAAAAATAAAAGCTCTTATAAAATTTTTGTCGAAAAATCTAAATTTGATTGCTCCTTCTATGAATTTTCCTGTCCAAGCCACTGCCATTAATTATTCCGTCCAATTTAATTTATCATCTACTCGGTGATTACAATATACTTTTACTTGAATTCTTTTTAGTTTGTATCCATTGTTGAATGATCAACAGCTTTAATTTTCTAGGTCGTTTCAAACGTTTAAAATCATTTAAACTCTTGTTGGCGGGTCATTATTTAGTCCAAGTTTGGATTTCAAGGCTTAGATAATCCCGCAGTGGCGTAGATAGGAAAATTCATAGGAGGGACACGGAATTTTATCTTTTACCGACAAAAATCAATACTAAACTATAGTTTGTTACAAATTTAAACATAACATATCAGATCAGAACTGAAATAAAAACTTATTCTGATAAATTTTGTATCATGTTATTCTGATATATTTATGTTATAGTCAGGCTTAAAATCTTCCCTCTCAAAAAATTGATGACCATGTTATTATTCCGACAAGATCAGAAGTTTTCAGACAAAATTTCAGATTTTAAAGTTACCACTGTCCGTTTCTCATATAGTGTTAAATAGTTGGCAAAGCTCTTTTGCTTTGTTGATCTCGACTTTCAAATTAGGGGTCTGGGACACAGTCTGCGATATACAAGCATGATGATTATGTTGCCTAATGGTCGCTTTACCCGTCAAAAATCTTGATTTGCAACTTGGAATTTTCTGTTCTTCAAAGGAAATTATGTGAAAAGATAAATTGTAAAAGATGGGTCTGGGTATTTCCATGTTTAAAAAACACTATACAAACGTGCGTGCTGTACAATATAATAGAATAAAACTAGAATTTTAAGTAAAATCGTACTAAAAAAATTAACGGATTTAATAATAAAGCTTGTTCGTAAATTTTTTCCATGCAATTTTACTTAAATACCTACAATTCTGGACAAAAGGTTAGTGGATTGGAGAAAAAACCATTAAAATTGCAACTTTACCCCAAAAATATTATCAAACCCCTCCCCCCTCCCCTGCAGCAATGTTGGTTTTGTTGAAAATACCCAAGTAACAGCAATCGAAAAGAGTCGAAATAAGCGTATCAAATTTGACTGTGGGGGGTGGGGAGAGTATTTTTCCAAAATACTACAATTTACCAGCCAGTCCATTAACTTTTGGCCAGGATTGTAGTTTTGTTTCAAAAAACAATGTCTAGATTTCATAATTGAAAGTTCATGATGTCTTTGGCATCTTAAGAAATTTTTAAGCATCTTCATTTGTAGAAAAAAATTGTCTTTTGTTAATTGCTTAGAAATTACTAAGGGGTGCATATATACCCATGCAACTTCGGCGATCAAATGCAATTTGTAATTTTATCCAATTTTTCACTTTAAGTTGCCCCTGTTAATTTGGAGGGGAAGAGTTTTTGAATGGAAAGAGAAAATTTCAACTTTTCTTGAAAAAACAATTTTTTCCGGGGTTGTAGATATCTATCGCTAAATACTGTGTCTCCAAAATGAAATTTCCCTTCCTTATTTAAGAGAAATATTTAAGAGAAAATAAATTCATGATCATTCAATTCCATCAGTTTAGACGCTAAAATATTTTGCCTTAAAATATGGTTTTAGATCTGGCTGGATTGGACCTTCCCATGTCAAGTATCAACTATGAATTAATGCTGTTTTTAACACCCATGATTCTAATTTTTACACCCATCACACCAAGCGTTTTTGCTGAAGCATGAGCATGCGCAATGTGACAGACATCAGACAAGAGTAAACTGTACGTAAATCAAAAGCCCTGAAATCGACAGTTAGATGAAAGATCAGCTGTTTAGAAAATATTACTTTCAGATTATGCTTGTCTCCGATTTCTCCTCGTTTCACACTTATTATTCAAGACCCTTACGAAAATGTTTGTCATAATCTTATTTTGTGATTCACACAATCTTTATGAATCTGCTTGATTTTTAAGAGCTCCTTCTTAAAAAGGCCTACTTTCGGGGTATGAACATCCTCACAGTCATAGCTTACATTTATGCTACATTTCGTCTAATTGTCATTTTGAAACTTTTAAGCAGCCCATGAAACAAGTAGGAATACTTCTTCAAATTTGTCTTCATGTTAAAGAAAATTTCTTGTGATACCTTTATGTAATCATTATGAAGAGTGCCCTTATCAGAAAGATTAGAGTTTTAGATTTATCAATTAAGATAACAAAACAGAAAAAAGCGATACTGGATCGGAAAAATTTATTCAGGATGTCTTCAGAAGGGTGAATTCCATTTTTCGGTAAGAAAGGTTTACGTTTACATTTATAAGACCAGTATAACTTCTTCAAATACTTTCAAATGTCGCAATCGAAGATTGCAAAAGCATGCGATATCCTGTTAGTGCATCTGCTTAAAACTGTTGCTGTTGAGCATGCCAATAAGCAGCTGACAATTCAGCAATTTGAAGAAATTCTTGCCTATTTCCGACATATTGGTAGAACGATGAAACTTTCAAGCCAGTTTTCGTCAATTTGAAATTTAAATGTTTGAATAATAATCTGGTATGAATCGAATTGTTTCGGAATGGTTTTTACTTTTTCGCAGCGAATAATATTATTATTAATATTATTTATTATGATTATTATTATTATTAATACTTTGATTTAAAATTGGCTGTTCGAAATAGCAAATAAAAGCTAATTAAGGCCAACTATTTACAAAAGGTGTATACAGAGAAAATACATAATAATTACAAAAATCCTAAACTATGTATAAAAGTTTTGTAAAACCTACAGTTGCAATGTTTGCATATATCAGGCTTAACGATACAAATGGCAACATTGATTGACAGTTCGGATATCTTACATTATGCAATACATGCTGTACTGATGGCACGTGCTATTTGCAGGTGAACATGTTTCTTATCAGTTTCATCGCCTACGTTATCGGTCCGCCCTTTTCTAGTTAGTACCAAAATGATGCTTTTAAGAAAACATTAATCTAATGTTTCTGATTTTGCGACATTGCTACAAAGTGTGATTCTTTATTGTTCATTTGAGTCAGTGTCTACAATATAGTGTTCAGTACTGCGACGATTACGACATTGCTACAAAGTGTGATTCTTTATTGTTTATTTGCGTCAGTGTCTACAATACAGGGCAGGCCTTATTTTAAGGCTCAGTGATAACCAAATTGTGCATTGATAAATCCAAAATTTGCCATGATAAATGGAAAATTGTGCAGTGATAAAATAGTTGAAACAGCAACATAAAGAATTCATGTAACTAAAAGTGACAAAAAATAAACAAACAGAACATAACGGTAATAGTATGAAAAGCGAAGTAAACAAATCAACATATGGTCTGCGACGCAGGCTAACTTAATATGGAGTTGATTGAGGCAGTATTCCCTTCATGCGAAGGGGAGAAAGAAGAGTCATGATGGTATTAAAAACATTCAATCAAATTTAGCGGCACGTGACAGCACTTTGCTGAGTGTCATTTTCTGCTAGTGGGATGGTTACTCAGGGATATTCTGCTAGTGGGTTACCTATATGTGTATTTCTTGTGCTTTTATATCATCGTACAGAATGAGACTTTTCAGGATCTTAAGCCATTTTAAGGCCTCAGAGATGGTAAAATCTCACGAGCTTCCGAAGGCTTTGCCGCGCTGGACCCCTGCCAGGGCTCTGCCCTCTGGAACCCTGCCAGAGCTCTGCCCTGGACCCACTGGGGGGCTTACACCGCCCCCAGACCCCCGGTTTTGCACGCGTTCCTCTGACACGCACTTTGCACAGCCTACCTCTAGAGGTTCTCTTCAATTATATTTCATGTATCAAACGACAAAAAAGTCATTAAAGAAACTAAGGAATTTCTTTAAACACTTTTCATAGAGTTGAAAAAGATCTTAATGAATAAAAACATCCATCATTGTTTCTAAGTCGTTTGCCACTCAACTGTGCCCAAAACACCTACCAGGAACTGCTTGGTGGTGCCGTGACCCACTGCACACTCTATGCTCTTTCACTCTGTTGACCCCCCTAACTGACATAACAGATTTACGGCCTTAGTAGCCTTAAAGGCTATTTGCAAAAAAGCAAAGAGTTTGAAGATTTTGATAATTTTAGGAAGAGTAATGTCTGGCGAGAATGAAATTTAAACCCACACGATCACCAAAGAAACGAAGGTGATTTCTTATTTTGCCCTAAGCTTTATATTCGCAACAAATTTAGTAATCTGTATTCAGTAGTAATGTAGCCTGTGAGTGTAAGCTTGAAGTTATTGAATTGAATTGAATTGAATGAAGGTTTTATCTCTCCGATTGGAGAGATGTTGCAATTAAAAGATCTATCAGAATTGACTATCGAAAATGGCGTGTATTTAAATCTCCTAATGGATGTCTTAAAACAAAATGTAGCAGATGTCATCATATTGTGTATTCTTGGGTTATTATCTAGTCATATAGGATGTTAGCTAGCTTTA